AATTCACAGAAACACACCATGGAATAAAACTTAAGCTTTGCAGAATTGTGCCAAAAGTCGTGAGGTTGAAAGTACCTGCACTGAAATTGGCAAAATGCATGAACCGCTTAAAATGGCCGGAGGAAAAATATGAAAACCGGAACAATGTCACGAAATCTCATTAGCACAACCAAGATGCGGTTGAAAAGTGAATTGACAATAAAACAAGCAATATAAATCACCTCAGTTTACGACAACATTAAAAAAAAGAAGCGCACGGGCACATTGAAGCATAAGGGAATCAATTGATATATAATGTTTCGTCTCAACTCACAAGTTATATGTTTCCCTTCTACAAGAAAATTTCATTTTATAATTTTATAACGGTAAATGATAGTTTGCTCGTTTCTTTGACCCAGTTTTATGTTTTTTTTATTGAGCCGTAATTTTTTCAACATTGTCTTTCGAAGAAATGAAGGCGTTTAAATCGTAGCAGTTCGTTTGACGCCAATTATTTGGTTCATCACATGAACTACCAATAAAACACCTTCGTTCATTTCGTTGCTTTTCGCTATTGTATTTCTGCAAAAATCGATTTTATTGCCATTTATCGATTTTGTCCAGGCGCCAAATATTGATCATTAAACGAGAATCGACATTATTTTTTTTCTTACTCAGTATTCACGTAATATTGTTGATGTCAATCGAATTCCGTGTGGAGTATGACATCATTCCACTCAATGTGATTATCTCACTCAATGACAATGCCGAAATATTTTTGCTTCTCCAGCATTTCTGAATTCACCGATTTGTTATTGAATTTTTGCTGAGAGAGTGTGAGTGAATGTATATGTTTTGAGCAAAAATTCCATATACGGAAAACACGATAAAAGTATGAGTGATGAGTGTTTCTGTATGTATCTGAATTTTGTGGTCAATAAGCTTGCGCAATTATTGTTGACTCGATACGCGTACATTTCTGTTCAATATCATCTTTACAGCATATGTATACATAGCATATCTGCTACGCATGTTGAGTTCGAAGCATATCGGTTCGTCCAAATTCATTACATATTCAGTGATGTTGTTTTCTGTTTTTGTTTACTTTACCACCCAAAAATCTATCTATTTTACATATTTCAAACGTTTCAAATGTAACGAGAAAAAAAATTAAATCAAAATCGATTAGAGAGCTAAAAGTTGTTAGTCGGAAGCTGTTTATTAAAAGCAATCATTTGATTGGCTTATGATGTTTTAATGGATTTGCTATTATTTTTAAATGTACGTTTCGAGGGAGATGTGTTTTTATTTATTTTGGTTCGTTTGACTTAAATTGGTAACAACAGGTGATTGACTCATCTATATTTTCCCGCTTGAAAATGCCAACAAATTGCTATAAATGCTCTTGTTTTTTTTGTTGCCTTTTTGGGTATGTAGGTGATAAGCACTGGAAGCCGATAAAAACACCGAGTACTCGACTATCATGTTATTATTTTAGTAAATTGATTAAATATATGTGTTGGCGACCAACATGTTTACAATACCGATTCATGCAAACGCACTCGAACACTTTTCCTCAAGTTATTTGATATACGAGGTGCTTGAAACCCGCACTTTTTTTTCAATTGAATATTGCATCGATACTGAAACGAATGAGTAGTATATGCATTTTCAAAGAAAAAACAAACCATCACACGCTAAGTTATATGAGCTCATTGTAAAAATGGTCAAACAACTTTATCATATCTCGTTGAGTGTGTGTATGTCGTGGCACCAAAGAATTCAGTCATTATTTAAATATAGATTCCATGCCTATAGTGTGTGCTATTCCGAGAAACACATTGGAATAATTCAAGTCAAACAAAATAAGGCGAAAAAAGAGTCCGATTCGATGATAAAATCGTTTTGTGAAATGTGATAGCAACTCGAATGCGAACATCATTTTTCTTCTTTTTTTTCGTGCCATTCTTATTTACATTCTGAAGCGATTAAGGATTCACTTAATCGTTTCCACATTGAAAAAAAGTGTTTCTGCATAAAGTGTAAACAATTGATTGCCGCTTGCATTGCAGTTTGTAGACAACGCCCCATCAAATATAAAATATTCATTTTGATATTTGTATTTGTGTGGCTCCTCATTCATAAATCTTTTATGCGGCAAACGTATTTAATCTGTTTTTTTTTTTTTGTGTATGATTATCTTGTTTTATAAAATATGCAATTTTCTTGAGCAGATCTTCATTGTGTGTACGATGCTTTCGCGATGGTTTGCGATAAATACAATGAAATAAACCACACAGACACACACACACACGATGCGAAAGAGTTTGTGGGTTTTTGGTTTTGGTTGGTTTATTGCTTATTTAGAGAGCGAAGCAAATTGAACATTGTTGCACACATCATGAATGTTGACCTATTCGTCTTCGTAGAAAATAAATTTCTTTTTCAATGTTGAACATGTTTTATTTTCTCTTTCTATCTTTATTTATCGCTCTGCCACTAATTAAATACAATTTTTGATTGGATTGGCACTTTCCGACAACTAGAAAAAAATGCATTTTATTTTGTTTTTCAAGAAATTCTTGCTTGTTTCGTCATTCAATGGTGAAAAACAATGAGATAGGGAGCGAAACAGTGTATGAGAGACAGAAAGAGCGAGAGGGAAGGCGGAATAGAGTGAGATGGAGTTCATGGTGTTTTGTAATAATATCGAAAGTTGTGTGTGGCTGCATCAGCCGGAAATTCAATTGATCTATTTTTAAAGTCGACATCGACAGAGAGGAACGAACCGACGCCAATCTATTGAATAAAATTGCTTTATCTTGCACTCTCAACAATCAACATTTGCTGCATATTTTTTTTTTGTTTTCGCATTTGATTATTCAAATAATTTCCTCGCGAAAATCGTTTTCGAACACGAAGCAATAACTGTAAAATTGTGCAGCACAATGGCAATAAAATTCGCTCATAATTTGCATGCCATTAAAATAGATATTTGCAATTTGAAGATTAAAAAACTGCGATATAAACAATCAATGAATTCATCGCTTTTTCTCTTGCGGATGCAATAAACTCAGAAAATTGAATTAATCAACAAATGCCCATTATGACAATCACTTTTTTATTCACACTTAAATTTTGATCACATCGTTAAAAAAATGATGCACTGTTCTGTGTGTTCGAGCACAAGTTTGTGCAGATGATTAACAGATTCTCCGCTAAATTTGCTACTTAATGACTTCTCACAGTTTTTGCTCTGTTAAAAACAACGCTCGAAAGAAACACGAAAAAGAAATGAATAATGATTTGAAAGGTCATGACGCGAGCCCGCAACACAATAAGAGTATCTAATTACGTTGTACAATCACTCAAAAGCTGACAATCATTGAAACTGAAACAATTTCTCGTTGACAAATTGGCAATATCAGTCGACTTAGAAAATTAAAAAAAGGGCGTGCATGTTCTATTCTAATATTGAGTAATTGATAGGCCAATTGAAACGGTCATTCGTCTTTTGAGACGTTCAATTTGATTTTTGATCATTTTCCATTTTAAAACAAATGAATCACGCATATGTGACGCGTTTGCGACATTTTACTGTCGCAAAAATAACATTTCGATCTCAATTTTTTTATTTTTTCAGAACGTTACACAGTTGGCGATCAACTTTGTAGCGTCGATGTATTCGGGCGAATATGAATTGTGTCAGAATTTTATGGCCAACTTTTGCAAGAAAAATACGATAATGTTGACTAATACCAATAAAGATAATAAGCAAAGGTATAGATTTTGCGAGAGATAATAGTGTGAATTATGTAAGCCGCATTTTTTCCGCCATTAATCGTGACAAAGCGAAGACCTTCACGTATATCAGCAAAATGTAAAATCGATACATGAACATAACGTCAAACGTGTGTTTATCTGTCGTACATTGAATTTTCCTTTTGATTAATTACCGGACTGTCATTGATTTAGTGGTATGCAATTCACAGGAATTAGCGGCAATGATATAAAGTCATGTTTCTCTCTCTAACTCTTTCGCGATCGTTTAAAGCAGAAAATCTCTATTGATTATGGTAGGTTAATGTAAAAACTGTCTACTTGCACACAGACACGTTCAAATTGCACCAAACGGTTTTAAAACTATCTTTATTGCCAGTTTATCGTTGTTTGTTTCGTGTGGATGCATCAAGCATATGCAATAAAATTACGTGAGAAAGCAAACATTCCATCTAATCAGTGACTGAGAAGCGACATTTTTCGTTTATTTTTGAGTAGCTATTTTCAGCCCAATTCAAATGTGTTTGTTTGTTACTCTTTCTTTTCCTCTTTTGAATGTGTTGATCGCTTACTTTTTTCAAGATCGTTTTTCGTGCATTCTCTTTCGATCGATAAATCGAATTTACATTGCATTATGTCAAACCCTGATTCGAATCAAAATCTCTGTATTGAAAATATTTTTCAATTAAATGCTATGACCTTTAATCTACAATAAACAGTTATTTTCGAAATGCTTCAGCGAACAAATAGAATTCCACCTACAATTTGTACAGTGTTGCACCATTCATTGTCATGTTTTGTGTGCTTGTGTGACACAATTTGAATATATGGAAATGGTTTCAATGCGATAGAATTTGATAGAATTCAATATGTGCTGACATGTTTTGTATAATTTAAATGTACCACAATGTGTGCGATGAAGCAAAATGTTATCTGAAATAAAGTGGCACAATGTAAAATCGGATTGAAGTGGTGTTGCGGCGCCAAGCTAATAAGACCAAAAATGCTTTGACACAGACGACTTTGGCAAGGATTGTTTTCTTTTTGCTTGCGTGATGAATTATATTGATTTTATGTAAATTTTGTCATTGTTTGACGATGGTGTTTTCATACTGAGTGAGAACGGAAAATGAGATTTTTTTTGTTCAACTTTTCTCTAGTCATCGTATATTGACAATGTATTCATTTCCTGTGCAATAACTAATGTGTTCGTTTTCTCATTTCCTTTTCGTCCCTTTCAGATTGCAGCAGCATAAACTGCCTATGAACTAATACACACATTTTTAAGTACGAAAATAAGCAAAAAAAAAATAACACACTGAAAATCACACCGACAAAATGACGACCGATATATCTGTGGTGCGTTGGGATCCCAGCCAGGGACCCGGCAGCGAATATATTGATGAATACGAATACGATGGCGGCAATTCAAGCTCACGTCTTTTCGAACGATCACGTATTAAGGCGTTGGCAGGTAAGCAATCGAAAAGAATATATTTGTACTTTGCACTTTATTTCCAATAATATTCTTATCAAAATCAGTGTTTTGTGCCTGAAATTCTAACTCAATGTTGTTTTCGTTTTTTTCTTCTTTCGTTTCATTCTTTTTTTTTTATGTTTATAATTGCTGCTTTCATCCACATCGAACAGAGGAACGTGAAACAGTACAAAAGAAAACCTTCACAAAATGGGTGAATTCGCATTTGGTGCGTGTAAATTCACGCATTGGTGATTTGTACGTGGATATGCGCGACGGTAAACATTTGATAAAATTGTTGGAAGTATTGTCAGGCGAACGTCTTCCAAAACCGACAAAAGGCAAAATGCGTATACATTGTTTGGAAAATGTAGATAAAGCATTGCAATTTTTGCGTGAACAACGTGTTCATTTAGAAAATATTGGTTCGCATGATATTGTCGACGGTAATCCAAGTTTGAATTTGGGTCTGATTTGGACCATTATCCTGCGATTCCAAATTCAAGACATCACAATCGAAGAGGTCGATAACAAGGAGACAAAATCAGCCAAAGACGCGCTACTATTGTGGTGTCAAATGAAAACTGCCGGCTATCAAAATGTGAATGTGCGCAATTTCACAACATCATGGCGCGATGGTTTAGCATTCAATGCAATTATACACAAGCATCGTCCCGATTTAATTCAATTTGAAAAATTAACGAAAAATAATGCAATACATAATTTGAATAATGCATTTGACGTGGCCGAAGATAAATTGGGTCTCACCAAATTGCTTGACGCCGAAGATGTGTGTGTCGAACATCCTGACGAGAAATCAATTATTACCTATGTTGTCACCTACTATCATTACTTCAGTAAAATGAAGCAAGAAACCGTACAGGGCAAACGTATTGGAAAAGTCGTTGGCATTGCAATGGAAAATGATAAAATGATCAACGATTATGAAGGCTTCACCAGTGATCTATTGAATTGGATTGAAACAACGATCATTTCGTTGGGCGATCGTGAGTTTTCCAATTCATTGAGCGGTGTACAACAGCAACTGTCACAATTTGCAAACTATCGTACCGTTGAAAAACCACCGAAATTCGTTGAAAAAGGTAATTTGGAAGTGCTTTTGTTCACATTACAATCAAAGATGAGAGCCAACAATCAGAAACCGTACACACCAAAAGAGGGACGAATGATTTCTGACATCAACAAAGCGTGGGAACGTTTGGAAAAAGCCGAACATGAACGTGAATTGGCATTGCGCGAAGAATTAATTCGTCAAGAGAAACTCGAACAACTTGCGGCCCGTTTCAATCGTAAAGCATCGATGCGAGAGACCTGGCTATCGGAAAATCAACGACTTGTTAGCCAAGATAATTTCGGCTTTGATTTGGCCGCCGTTGAAGCAGCCGCCAAGAAACACGAAGCAATTGAAACTGATATCTTTGCATATGAAGAACGTGTTCAAGCCGTCGTTGCTGTGTCCGACGAATTAGAATCGGAACGTTATCATGATATGGATCGTATTAAAGCGCGCAAAGACAATGTACTCCGTTTGTGGAATTATTTGTTGGAATTGCTTCGTGCACGACGATTGCGTTTGGAAATGTCGCTTCAATTGCAACAAAATTTCCAAGAGATGCTCTACATTTTGGACAATATGGAAGAGATCAAACAACGTTTATTGACCGACGATTATGGCAAACATTTGATGGGCGTCGAAGATTTATTGCAGAAACATGCATTGGTTGAGGCTGATATTAATGTATTGGGCGAACGTGTGAAGAGCGTCGTTCAAAATTCACAGCGATTCTTGGGCGATGATGCTGAAGGATATAAACCATGTGACTTGGCTATCATTGTTGATCGCGTTCAACAATTGGAAGATGCATACGCTGAACTGGTTCGATTGGCCGTTGAACGTCGTTCACGCCTTGAAGAGAGCCGGAAATTGTGGCAATTCTATTGGGATACAGCCGATGAAGAGAATTGGATCAAAGAAAAGGAGCAAATCGTTTCGACCGAAGACATTGGCCATGATTTGACCACCATTAATTTGCTATTGTCAAAACATAAAATACTCGAATCGGAAATTCAATCACACGATGCACAATTGCAATCAGTTGCTCGCGTTGGGGATGAACTCATTAGTGAAGGTCACTTTGGTGCCGAACGTATCAAGGAGCGGCTCAAAGAAATTTTGGCAATGTGGAATCATTTGCTGGATTTAACGAAATACCGTCGTCAACGTTTGGAAAATGCCGTCGGTTACTTCCAATTGTTTGCCGATGCCGATGACATTGATCAATGGATGTTGGACGAATTACGTTTGGTGTCATCAGAAGATGTTGGTAAAGATGAATCACATGCCCATTCATTGTTGAAAAAACACAAGGATGTTGCCGAAGAACTTAAAAACTATGCTGAAACCATCGACCAATTGCATAAACAAGCCGAAGGTCTTACACTTACCGATGAAGAACAACGACATGTATCCGAACGTCTTACATCGATCGATGAACGTTACAAACAACTTATGGAATTATCGAAATTGCGTAAACTTCGTTTGTTGGATGCATTGAGCTTGTATAAATTGATGTCAGAGGCTGACGGTGTTGAACAATGGATTAGCGAAAAAGAGAAAATGTTGGACACAATGACACCTGGCAAAGATATTGAAGATGTTGAAATATTGAAACATCGTTACGATGGCTTTGACAAGGAAATGAATGCGAATGCATCTCGTGTTGCTGTTGTTAATCAGTTGGCACATCAATTATTGAATCAATTCAGCAGCGTTGATCATCCAAATTCCGAACAAATTACCGAACGACAAAAGCATTTGAACGAAGAATGGTCACGTTTGCGCGACAAAGCCGATGCTAAGCGCGACGAACTTAATTCAGCCCATGGTGTACAAACGTTCTATATTGAGTGCCGTGAAACAATTTCATGGATTGAAGATAAGAAACGTATTCTCACAGAAACCGATAATCTTCAAATGGATTTGACTGGTGTGATGACATTGCAACGTCGTCTCAGCGGTATGGAACGTGATTTGGCTGCCATTCAAGCCAAACTCAATGCATTGGAAAAGGAAGCCGATGCAATTGAAGGCGAACATCCAGAAGAAGCGGCTATTATTCGTGAGCGTATTGCACAAATTACATTGATTTGGGAACAATTGACACATATGTTGAAGGAACGTGATTCGAAACTTGAAGAAGCCGGCGATTTGCATCGTTTCTTACGCGATTTGGATCATTTCCAAGCGTGGTTGACCAAAACACAAACCGATGTTGCATCCGAAGATCCACCAGATTCATTGCCTGAAGCCGAAAAATTACTCAATCAACACCAGAGCATACGCGAAGAAATCGATAACTACACCGATGACTATAAGAATATGATGGAATATGGTGAACGTTTGACATCGGATCCAACACAAAATGAAGATCCACAATACATGTTCTTGCGTGAACGTTTGAAGGCATTGAAAGATGGATGGGAGGAATTGCAACAAATGTGGGAGAATCGTCAAGTCTTGCTGTCACAAAGTTTGGACGCTCAATTATTCAATCGTGATGCTCGTCAAGCTGAAGTTTTATTGAGTCAACAAGAGCACTTCCTCAGCAAAGACGATACTCCGGTCAATTTGGAACAAGCCGAAAATCAATTGAAACGTCACGAAGCATTTATGACCACAATGGATGCAAACGACGATAAAATAAATCAAATCGTTCAAGTTGCTGACACCTTGGTTGAAAAGGAACATTATGATGCCGACAAGATAAATAAACGCGCTCTAAATGTGAACGAACGTCGTGATTCGAATCGTGGACATGCACTTGATCAACATGAAAAACTCAAGAATCAAGTTAAACTGCATGAATTCCTGCAAGATTTGGAAGAGCTCACCGAATGGGTACGAGAGAATTTCTTTCTTATTGATTCTTTTTCGATTATTTTAAATTATTTCTTTTCTTTTCTTTTGCGATACTTTTCTAGGTACAAGAGAAATACATCATTTCCGAAGATGAAACATACCGCAGCGCAAAAACAATTCACTCGAAATGGACACGTCATCAAGCATTCGAAGCCGAAATTGCGGCGAATAAACAACGTTTGCATGATGCTGAACAAGCAGCTAAAGAGCTCATGACTGAGAAGCCCGAATTCAAAGAGATCATTGAGCCAAAATTGAAGGATTTATCAAAATCGTTTGAAGATTTGGAGAAAAATACAAAAGACAAAGGCGCTCTATTGTTCGATGCCAATCGTGAAGTGTTGGTTCATCAAACATGTGACGACATTGATTCGTATATCACCGATTTGGAGAAACAAATTATCAGCGCTGACACCGGCAATGATTTGACATCTGTCAATATTTTAATGCAAAAACAACAAACGATTCAACATCAAATGGAAATTAAGACGCGTCAAGTCCAAGAGATGGAAAAACAAACTGAATTCTTGAAGAAAACCATACCACCCGAACAACATGAGCCAATCATTCAAAAGAAGACAGCCGTTACCACACGTTTCGAGCAAATCAAAGCACCATTATTGGAGCGTCAAAAGCAATTGGAAAAGAAGAAAGAAGCCTATCAATTTGTGCGCGATGTTGAAGATGAAAAGCTATGGATCAACGAAAAATTGCCGGTCGTCGAATCGGACGAATTTGGTAATTCATTGTTCAATGTAAATGTATTGAAGAAAAAGAATCATACATTGGCCACCGAAATCGATAATCACGAACCACTCATCAATACAATTTGCAATAATGGCCAAAAATTGATCGACGAAGGTCATGAAGATTCACCGAAATTCGCTGAACTTATCAAAGAGCTCACCCAAAAGTGGCAAGCACTCAAAGATGCCGTTGATGAACGACGCAAGAAACTCGATCAATCCGAACGGGTACAACAATACTTCTTCGATGCGGCCGAAGCGGAAGCATGGATGAGCGAACAAGAATTGTACATGATGGTCGAAGATCGTGGTAAAGATGAAATTACCGCACAAAATTTGATGAAAAAACACGAAAACTTGGAACAATCGGTTGAAGATTATGCCGAAACAATTCGTACGCTTGGCGAAACTGCACGTCAATTGATCGCCGATGGCATTCCAAATACCGACGCTGTTAACGTTAAACAATCACAATTGGATAAATTGTATGCTGGTTTGAAAGATTTGGCCGGTGAACGTCGTGCACGGCTCGATGAAGCATTGCAATTGTTCATGCTTAACCGTGAAGTTGAAGATTTGGAACAATGGATTGCCGAGCGCGAACTTGTGGCCGCATCACAAGAATTGGGCCAGGACTACGATCATGTCACATTGTTGTGGGAACGTTTCAAGGAATTCGCCAAGGATACAGCCACTGTTGGTGGCGAACGTGTTGCACGTGCAAACGGCGTTGCTGATGATTTGATCCATGCTGGTCACTCCGACAGTGCTACTATCGCCGAATGGAAAGACGGTATGCAACATTTGTTTTATTCACATTCAAATTTAACAACAATAATTTAATTTTAAATTGTGATTTTATTTTTAGGTTTAAACGAATCATGGCAAGATCTATTGGAACTCATCGATACCCGTTCACAAATGCTCGTTGCATCACGCGAATTGCATAAATTCTTCCACGATTGCAAAGACGTATTGGGTCGCATCGTTGAAAAACAACACGGTGTATCCGATGAATTGGGCCGTGATGCAGGCACCGTATCCGCATTACAACGTAAACACAACAATTTCATTCAAGATCTACTCACACTCTATTCACAAGTGCAACAAATTCAAGAGGAATCGATTAAATTGCAAGCCGCCTATGCTGGCGACAAAGCCAAGGAAATCACAAATCGCGAACAAGAAGTGTTACAAGCCTGGGCCAATCTACAGGGATTGTGCGAAACACGTAAACAAAAACTATCCGATACCGGCGATCTCTTTAAATTCTTTAATATGGTGCGCACACTTATGCTCTGGATGGAAGATGTTGTGCGTCAAATGAATACATCAGAAAAACCACGTGATGTGTCTGGTGTTGAATTGTTGATGAACAATCATCAAAGTTTGAAAGCCGAAATCGATACAAGAGAAGACAATTTTTCGGCCTGCTTGTCACTCGGCAAGGAACTTTTGGCTAGAAATCATTATGCATCTTCAGATATTAAAGATCGTTTGCTTCAATTGACCAGCAGCCGAAGTGCATTACTCGACCGATGGGAGGAACGATGGGAAAATCTGCAACTCAGTAAGTTAAAAATAAAAATATTTCAAGAAACCAATTTTTGTTATTGATTCCAATCGATTTTGAAATGTTTTGCCAACAGTTTTGGAAGTGTATCAATTTGCACGCGATGCAGCAGTTGCAGAAGCATGGCTTATTGCCCAAGAACCATACCTTATGTCATCCGAATTGGGACACACAATAGATGAAGTTGAGAATTTGATTAAGAAACATGAAGCATTTGAAAAATCAGCAGCTGCCCAAGAGGAACGTTTCATTGCTTTGCGCCGATTGACTACAGTGAGTGATTCATCTTGATGAGATACAAGAGCATATTTTTAAATCCAATTTTTTTTATCGTTTAGTTTGAGCTCAAAGAAATTAAAAGGCGTCAAGATGCAGCCGAAGAGGCTGAACGTAAGAGAATTCAACAGGAACAAGAGGAACGTGCCGCTGCAGAAGCACAAGCCGAAGCTGCCCGTTTGGCTGAATCAAGAGACTCACATGATGCTCCAGGATCGCCAGCACGTGAATCCGGTAAATTTATCACATTTCCATTCATCTATCTTTCCATCACCATTTCGTGTGTTTGCAAACATTCTTCTTTTTTGGAATTTTTTCCGTGTGAAACGGAATAACAGATTTGGTTTAAGGGTCGAATTCTTTCGCATACACATTGTTATTTCAAATACAACATTTTTATTCATCTCACAGTCAGACCTTACTGATCTTTTTTGATAAATAAATGTTTGATGAAAATAATTTTTTCTATTGGTAAAAATTCAAAACTAACTCTGGTATATTGGAATTCATTTTTTCATGCTGCCAACCTCTTTAAACACTTGATCGAAAATCTCGCTTGTACATTTACACATATATCCACATACACATAAACACATCTTGAAAATTGACTCTTTGTCGAACAAAATCCGCGTAATTGATCAAAATTCAAAATTAAAACAAAACAAAAACGGAACAGTTGCTGTTACAACTGTTTCACCCGTGGCCGAAGGAACTAGCTCTCAAGGTATTAACTATACATTTTTGGTGATAAATTGCATACACAAACAAACACTTTTGGAATTTATTTTATGGCACTAGATAGACAATTTTATACGCAAATTTATGTACAAACGCATATACATGGTTCTCTTGAGTTCTTTGGTTCATCATTGCTCGTTATCTCTGTAATTTTCGCTCTCATTTTTTCCCAGTCTCTTTTTCTCTCTCAATCACTGTCTTTTGTTTGAAGTATCACACTGTGTGTTCCCATTTGATGGTGTTTTGATCATTCATACATAAATCATTATATTTAATTAAGTATCAATCGGGTCATGGGCTAAGACATATAACAAACTCATGATAATGGCGATGTCGCCAGTATTAATTAAGACATTAACAACAACACATATTATAAATTAGAATATGCACATTCAGGGTATTTCGCACTTTATATCTCACCTTAACTAGATGTACATTTTATTAGTTAACTCAATTTTCATTCAAAATAATGTGGGCCGTGGGCAGTGGGGGTATAAATATAAATTTTCATTTTTCTGCTTATTTCCTTCAAATAATAACAAATATTTATTATACGACCAAAAAAATTGTCATTTAATGAAATCGAATTCTATATTTTGCAAATTCATCAACATATTGCTTGGTGTTCAAACCAAATATAACGATAAACATGGTTACACATTTATCAAACTGGTTTAATTAAAACATACAAACAAACAATTGAACGAAAACAAAATAAACACATACACACATACACGCAATCATTCAGAGGGTGGATTCGATTCGAGACGTTCAACTCCATTTGCATCTGGATCATCTTCACACACACCGGGTAGCGGTGGTTCATTGAAAATTGGCCGCCGTTCTGGTGAACGATCAAAAAGTCCATTCCGTAGTTTTCGATGGAAACGCGGCACTTCACGCAACATTGAGCTTGAGTACGATGAAGAAGGTAACACAAATCAGAAACAAAAAAAAAATCAAATCGAACTACGTGTCATTTAGCATAGATTGCAGTACAATTACTTTAATTTGGGGGAAGTTTTCAAATGAAATATTTTGACATTATTCATTCATGTGGGCCTCATTTGGACGATCAGAATCAAATTTATTATACTAGATACGTTGAATCAATCATACATATTCGAATGTTCATAACAAATTAGTTATTTTTAGTGGACGTTTATCTAATTGCATGCAGCGATCATAGTTTCGCTATACATTGTTTATCGCCCGATACATTTTTTCGAATTTAAATCTTTTCTCCCAGTGTTAAGGACTCTTTCTTTATTGCAGCTGAACAAAACACCAACAAAACGGGGACAATATTTATATATATACACAAAAACACAGTTTTGATTCTCATTTTATCAATGATTTCCAATTTTCGAAGTGGACATTTTTCCAGTTCATGTTTCCGCTTTTTTTTATATTGCATACTTTTTCTGTACGAAAACGAAAACTTGATTTTATTTTTATTGCGCAAATTTATGTTTATTTTATTGCAAAATTAATGTAAAATTTAAATTGATTCAATTTTTAATACAAATTTAATTTATACTCGTGGGTATAGGTGCACAAGGCGATGCCAGTGGCGTTGAAGGTGTTTTAGTTCGTAAACACGATTGGGAAAGTACGACCAAGAAAGCAGCTAACCGTTCATGGGATAAGGTAAATATCAAGACCTTTTTTGATAAAGCAACAGCTGAACTGAGTCTGTCATATTGTCTAGTATGTGTAAAAGTAGAGAATTTGATGCGCTCAGTTCAATCGTTGTTTACTTCGTAAAATGCGGAAAATTTCATTTATGACTCAATTTCCTCTTGAAACAGGTTTATGTGGTGGCACGTAACTCACGTTTGACATTCTTCAAAGATCAAAAAGCATCAAAAGCTTTGCCAGAAACAACGTTCCGTGGTGAGCTACCACTCATATTGGATGGCGCAAGTGTTGATGTAGCCAACGATTATAAGAAACGAAAACATGTGTTCAGAATAAAGTAAGTTTTTGTATGAATTAACTATCGATATCGAAATGATATTCAACCATAAAATTTCATATGTTCGATAATGTGTTTCGTTTGAGTTTTCCATTTAATTGATAAACTTTTCATTTTGTGTCCGTAGGTTCGTCAATGGCAGCGAATTTTTGTTACAAGCCCACGATGATGCCGAATTACACCAATGGGTGGCCGCATTGAAGGCACAATGTCAAACTGCATCGGGTAGCGAAAGCCGTTCACAGACATTGCCCGCATCATCACATCAGCAAAAAGATGAGACCAAAAAGAAATCATTCTTTACGCTGAAGAAAAAGTAAATATCTCCTCCAAAAAAAACATTAACGATATCAAAAAAAAATCAGCCAATTTTCATTTTTGCATATAATTCTGATATTGCATATTTCTACAAGCAAAACCAATTTAACAAATAACAACAACAAAAAAAGAGTATAAACTCAATTGAACACATACACACGTAATGTGCTTGTGAAAATAAACATCACACCACGAGAAACACTCTCTCACAAGTCACTAAGATATATAATTATTGTGAAAAGTAAAGTAAAAAAAAATTGAAAGCCAAAAACAGTGACACACATAACACAACCGATAAAACTGTTTAATGCATAGCATGATGTCTTTTACCGTATTTAGTTAGCTTAAGCACCTTTTAAACTTTTGATTTTCCTATCTTTTCAAAATTTCCTTTTTAACAAACATCTATTATCATTATTTTATGTCGTCCTTTCTGTATTATGGAAAGTAGTTAAAAAATAGTAAATGTTCTATATAAATTTAAGTTTATATTCATGTTTACGAACCCGAATTATTAGTTTTGGATCAAGCGAACAAAGTGTCAACGTTTCCAATTCAGGCATTCGTCTATGCATTGGAGATTAATAACACTGTTTTACATTGACATTCGATGACCGAATGACTTTAGTGATAAGGAACGTAGTGGAAATGGATAAACAATTGTAATGGAAATGGGAAATATCAATCATTAGAATGTAGTTCACTAGTATTGATGTTGACAATTTGTTCTTCTTTCAGTGATGTTAGATCGCATGATGAGTTTATTTGCATGAGTACCGCGCGGTGGCGAATCTTTTTTTTTAAAAACCAGACTCTCTGAAATGAAAAAATAGCTTACATTTATGTTTTGCATTTAACACTTAACAAAAAAAAATGAGCATGGATTTAGTATGAACAACACAATTCACAATGGTTTATTTTCATGTAAACTTTTGTTCTATTGCTGTTGTTCAAAGAGATTACCGTTTATTTATTAACAAAAGTTCAAATAACACAAAAAAATTTAACGAATTCTTATGTTACCTTTTTTTTCTAATGACAAACAGTAGTTTCACATGAAAATATCCGCACAGAAACACAAGCTCACAAACTATGGTTGATGTATTTTTAATTTTATTTATTTTTTGGTATATTTGAGTTTCTTATCATTTCTGGTGTTATGTCTCTTTTACAATGTGTTTTTTTTCTCATTCAGTTTGTATAAAAGAAGTGTATTAAATTGGTGTTTACAAATTGGCAATTTCATTCAGTTTCAAACCTATTCAAAATTATTTTTAAAAAAACAACAAATTCCAAACGAATTATTTTTGACCGATTCCAAATTTCTTTCTCTCTTTTTTGTCATTTATTTTCAGTTAAACAAAATATTCAAATTCATCGTCCCTCGAGCACACAACATTTATACACTGACACACTCAATTACAGACAAAACAAAACACGAGAAAAACTATGATATTTTCTGTCTTAAAATTTAATAACTAAACAACAACAAACAAAAAAAAACATGAGCCTTGCGTTGCGATCCAGCTTTAGAAATTTTAAAAAAAATTTGTTTTGAATTTTATGAAAACTACGCAAAAAAGATATTGTTAATGTAGCAAAAAAAAAGGAAAACTCTAAATTAATTTGAAGTGAATATTTAAAAACATACACACACCTACACATAAATGAAAACAATCGAGAAAACCATTTTATTCCTATGAAATACTATTATTAATGCAATTTTTTTTAATTATTCGAAGTTATATTTTTTCTTATTTCCATCAAACTTTTATTTTCTCTGTCCGTTTCATTTATAATACACACATCTGTTTTTAGAGAATTTAATCCTCATTTTATTTATGAAATGTAATTTTACGAAAGTTAGAACGAAAAAAAAAACAAATACAAATCAATAATGTTCTCTTTATTATTATTTTTTTGAAACTGTGTCTTCTTTTGTTGTTCATTTTAAAAAGAAATTAAATTTAAAACGAAACAAAAAAAAAACGCTAAGTCCAAAATTTTCACTGCTAAGCGGAACAATTTATTTTTAATACCATAACTGAATTTTCTGCAAATGAACAATTTACAAATGACACGCATCTGTATGTGTTAAGCTAAAAAAAAGAAAATAAACCAACTTAAAACATAGAAAATTCGCCAAATACTGTGCGGAGCACTCAGTGTGAACAACATACGATCAAAACAGCATCCGCCACAAAACTCCACACAACCGCAACAAAATAATTCATTTTTCTTTTGGTCAAAATCTAAGATTAAAATTTAAGGTTAAACTACGATTCTAGATATTAAAGTATTGTTTTATTGGTATATTTATGTTCTTTTTTTTCTCGCCTGTACACGAAATATCAATGCATCAACAACAACACATACACACACACAAAAAAAAATACAAAATAATTCAAATGATGAAATTTAAATAAATCAGAATTATCTATTATAATCGACAAATAAATAAAAAAAAACTCATTTTGTTTTATTTTTTTGCAATTTTTCGTTTTTATACCCATTCACACAAAGTGACATCTTTAATATTTACGGAAATTGGCGGTAAAATTGTTAATTACCACCAAAGAAATTTGTTATTTATTGCTACATTGAATTTGAATCAGTTCAGTTATGAAAATTACAATATTTGAGAAAATATTATAACTGTCATTTTGTGTGTGCACCAAATCCCATCTCCCCCCCTTCACTACGAATGGTTACAATTTTTTCCGGAATAAATTTTTTCGCTGACAACCCAAAAGTGAAGTTGGACACATAAATGGAAGGATTTTCTTCATTATTATTAGAGTTATTTGGTATTTTTTTTTTGCAAATTATTCGAAAATTGTGAAAACACACAATATATTTTTCTAAATCTAAATAGATTTCTATATGTTTATAGATATCCAAGTTGGCAACTCATTCAATTGCACTTAATTTCGCTTATGTCAATGAAGAAAAATGAAAATGACAGAAAAAAAAATGAGAGAAAATATTGTGTTTTGCTGTTGAAAATACTGCTGCTTTATCTGCGCTTGTAAAAAAACACAATTTTTTCCGTTAGATTTAAAAGTATTGTTTAGGTGAATTCGCAATCAATTCCAAATCCAACGTAATTTTAAATAGCGCAATTTGTTGACTTTTTCCAAAAAAAAAAAGATTTCGAGAAGTTAGAACGAAAGGAGAAAATCCCGATTAAATGAAGAGATGATGCAAGTGAAAGAGCACGAATTGATTTTTTTTAAATATAAATGTTGCACATTAAAAAAGTGATTCTCAAAATTCTGCTAATTTCATTTATCTTTCCCTCTCTTCAAAGCAAATTTATAAAAAAAATATAAATTTAGAATAAATTGCAATAATTTCTTCAGAAGTTTGCAATATATAAGAGATGCGCGTTGAATTAGTAATTTGGCAGTAAAATGGTAATGTCAGAATTCATAAAGATATATTAAGGATGATGTGATGGCAAAAGATACGGCAATACATCAATATATTTAGAAAAAATCCTTTAAACAAAATAACAAATAATAATCTATATACTGATAAAAAACCATTGTTATACCCCTAAAACCCAAAAATGCAAAACAAAACCCAAATAAAAAAAATCTTTATATAGTCGTTTTTTCTGAACTAATCTTTACAACTTAGTTAGAATACAACTATAAATTACAAAGAAATGGTTAAAAAAAATTATTAAAATTTATCATCACAAAGTAAAACAATTCATTTTAGAAGAGGTTGATAACATTCCGCGCAAAATGAATGAATAACCGCAGCACTAAAAATATTCTAAAAAGATCTAATTATTTGCATCGAATTGGACATATAATATGCATTTTCCGTGCTGTTTTAATAGAAATGAAATTAAATTATGGGATTAGGAAAGTGCGAAATCTATATTCACGAAACAATTATTGCTTTTGCTTTCTGAAACCAAATCAAACAAAAAAAAAACACACACACCTACCCTCACTTAAATATTCTTTTATTTTCTCGATAATTTCTTTTTTTAAATCCAAAATATGTTACATTCAACTAACAATAAACAAAAGAACAAAATAAATGTAGTCTTAGTGTTTTATATGCTAACGTCATACCAATATAGAGATATACGTCATACAAATAAAATTCAATCAAAAAACATTCAAAAAACGATGTTGTTTTTACTTTATTTATTTAATTACATATTCCACGCAGTATTTAAAAAAAGAAGTTCATTTTTACAGATAGTCTTTACGCCACAAATTGTAATTGATATTAATTAATCGTGTGATGAGGCGATAGTTATTCAATCTCCGTCATCAATGCATGGATCGAACACGTTCTGGGCGTTGTGAAACGTGATAAATTAAATTCGTTGAATATGTTCTGTGCATTCACACAATTTACAGTTGATAGATTCGAACAGACAATTTAATAGTTATTGCTGGCAGTTTGCATTCGAAATCGATGCTGAATTTAATTTGTAATTCAAATTGGAAAACGAACGAATAAAACAATTGAATGCATATATATATGCACGGTCTGCACATCTGAAAGGTTGATTACGATGTCAAGTGTATACAATAAATTGTCATTCATTCGAATTTAAATTCGCATTACTTTTGCGGACGTTTTGTAGAAATCTCTTTGCAAGATTTGACATCTCTGGTTGGAATAGAATCGTTTCATTGATCATTGAATTTCATGCAAATGTTGCTTAGTTGTAAAAACAGAGAATGTTATTGTTTGTGAACATGAGAAGTTCTTATGTTTAATCCGAAATGAAGCCTTAGGGAATGAATGACCCAAGATACAACGCCATGAGCTGTGAGCAGTCGCATGGGAATGCGTTCATGCGATACGTCACTTTGCGTCTATTTGTTTTATCCCCGTTTCGTATTCTCACATATGTTCGTCTCTTTTGTGAGCATGTGCTGTTAGCACACAATACACATCGTTTTTTTCCTCTACTGCTACGAGCGTTTCTTTGTTTTCGTTGTGCTGCGCATGTTATTGTATTTGTTTTCATTTTTATCTAAAATCATATGACTATGGCTTCACAACTACTGACTTTGTGTCTCATTGGAATCTTCTTAAAGATTTTATATCAATAGAAAATGCATTGGGACAGCAAATAAAATGAAAGAAATACATTTTTTTTTCGAGATAATTATGTTTGTTATACGCTGCTTTATTCATATCGAAATAGGTAAGGCAAATGAAGGAAATGAAGCAAATAAAGTGTTAATACTTGAAAAACCACAATGCTTTACAAATGTAAACACACGCATACACTCATGCGAATGAAAAAAACTGATGCAAAACATAGCAGCAACCGCCAACACATATGCAAAATACATCAATGTTACTGAACGTTTGCTCGCTTTGTCGCTGACACAAAACGAATTCCCTTTGTGTTTACATTTCACTTGGATACAGTTTGGTCTCTACTCGATCCAAAGAGTGTTCTATTTGTGAAACGCAAAAAAATGAAAGAGAAATACACGTACAACCACTGTGCTACACTCGAACACACTAACACACACATCTAAACTCATGCACAGATGCAGATACTCAACAATCTCGCTCGAATTGGCTGTAGCAAATGAACAAGCATTCAAGTCAGGACAGTTTTCTGTCAGCGCTTTTCGCGTTCAAACTATTCGACTAAAATACGTCGTTCAAAAGTAACAAAAACTAAAACGTTGAATATACACAATAAATTTGGGAAAAAAATCAAGTCAGTTTGTTCAATGATTTTTGAAGTTTTGTGTCAATTCAAATGAAAAGTTGAAGTGAAGAAAGAAGAATGCACAAAATCGCAATTAGATAAATAAATAAAAAATTAATAGAAATTTTTGTGGTGCAAATTTTAAATCGAAAGTGAATCAAACAAATTGTGAATTAATCCAAGATAAAAGAAAACGAACAATAAATCTCTAAAAACAAAATCTGGTGAAATTGAATTTATTCGAAATTCAAAAGTGTTGCTTTTTTTGTCGAAACTGTCAATTTCTGTTGTTTTCCATTTGACTAGCTCATCGAAAATCGAGGAGTCAAACAAAAAGCGTAGTGAATCTTATCGCATCGAAAAGGTACACATAATTCAACTGTTATTAAAACTGTTTCTGTGCTCTGTGCACTCACAAATTGTGTGAATCACAATGTGGTCATTTTGTCGCTTTGAAGAATGGATTTTGACACGTAATTTAATTTTATCAGCTTGGTTGCTACGACAGTAGGAAGAGAAAAAAAAATGATTATGATCGAACGAAAGTACCTGAGTGAACGAACGGTGACAAGAGTTCTTTATGCTTCTGCCTGCCTGGCATTCCTGCATATGTGTCTGTGTGTTTGTTTGTGTTTACGTGTATTTTTATGGTTCAACAAATTAAATCTAATGGTTTTAAATAGCACACGCAATAGAAGCATCTATCGTATTTATAATGCGCTTACGACAGAAAAATATAAAAAAAATCCAACCAAGTACTTTTCCATTGAGATTTTATACGATATGCATTGGATAAGCAAAAGAAATATTCAACATATGTGAATGTTGCACCGCTTATGGCATATAGTGTATGTGATAGCGAGACGTTTTATGCAAATGCAAGACGTTTGTTTTTATTTTCATCGTGACGTTATATGCCATCCAGAGAAAGAGAAAGAGCGAGAGAGAGAGAATGTGTAAAAATCACGCAAGGATTTTGGTTTTTAAAATTTCGTGTCATCAAACGAAAAATTACTTTTCCGTCTGGCTACCAACCATTCCAATCGTGGTTGTTACGATGAATTTCGTGACTGTCTGACATTTTCGAATTTTATTCAAACCATTTTTTTAAAAACAAACCAAATTCAAATCGTATTGCCATAGCTTCATATTGCGCGTTACTTTAGCAACAGATTCAATTGACTTTTGTATATACGTGCTGTGCAATTGACGTTTTATACTATTTCTATTGTCCAATGTATTTTGCGTGGGTTATGGATATATCCAAATAACGATTCGATTACAAATGCCCGATAGCAATGTGTAAGTGAGTGTGTCTCTATGGTGCTCGTTATCAGCGATTGCCATTGAACACACGTCCATAAATAAATACGTAATATATAAAACCACACATTGTATTTGTTTAATGTTTTTGCGCATCAACTTAAAATGTTTTAACGCTCATGGCCAAACAATTAAACAAGAATCCATTACAATATGCGCGCGATGCCATGAGATTTGAAAAATGTTCAATGTGTTCTTGAACATAACGAATATTAATGTGTGTTTTGATTGTAGAATGCTCGGCGTGGCGGATCTAGTCGTCTAAGCGACTTTCAAGTAATATCTAAATAAAATGCCCGACGTGAAGCATATATCCATTGGTTGAGATAGATTTATTCTTCGAAACTCATAATTGACATTCCAACGTCTATAAAGAATAAGCCAATTAGAATGATTATTCGCATTGAACTCCGTCTTTGTTGTGGAAAATGCTCTTGAATTTAATGAAAGTGTGAAAAAATGCTGTTTCTCTCCGGTCGACCCACGTAACTTTCCCACAATGCCAATCACCAATCGCTCTAGCCACTGAATTTCAGTGATATTACCAGTTACCATATCCATTTTTATCCACACACACACACAAAAAAACAGAACAACGTGATTTGAATGTGGCAGTTTGTTCTGCTACTTTGATTCCACATTGTATTGTTTTAGTTCAACAGTATTTTTTTTGTGATTCGTTTCAGCTGTTTTGTGTACGTGTGTTTGCTTTTGAGTGCTGGAATTTTTTTTCGCGTCTGTTTCTCTTTGGGCATTTTTTCCACGTTCTTTGTTTTCTGCATGTATGCGACATTTTCAGTGGCGTTAAGTCATCGAATTACATTTACCGTTTGTAATTGGCACGAAACAATAAATACGAGGTTGTGTGCTTACTTCGTTTACAATGTGTGGTACGTTGAACCTAAATGCATACACAAATATCACCGATTTGGGCGACTGCACCACACACCACACCATGGCACGTTCAATCTATCTCTATATTTTGCAAGACAAAATAGAGTTGTGGGCGATTTCTCGCAAATTACAGATTTGCATGCTGCATGCATTTAGAGAATTGCTCGTTTGTGATCGCGGATTCAATCATATGCCATGAGATTAAAAGTCATTCAAAAGTGCACACATTTTGATGCATGCTCTCATTTTTTTTCGAGAGTGAGCTAAATAAAAACTACATTGAATTTGTGATTTTAAGCGATTCGCGTGCTCGAGCGCACCTATTCACTCTCATGCTCAATGAGAAACGCAAAACAAAAATAAATTCAAAATAGAAGCGTGAATAAAGCTTGAGATTTACTCTATTGTCTCGCATTCTTTCTATATCTCCATTACAAACGACGATAGAGTCGCGTTTTTTTGGAGTAGAGAAAGGAAACCGTGAAATAATGTGAAGAAAAGAGCGTTGCTATTTATTCAATTTTCAGACAAGAAATGAAACTTATTTGCATTTTAGTGTTTTTTGTTCTTTGCCGCTGTAAACAATTGCGCTTTCAGTTTAGCTCACACATTGTTGTTAACATGCATGTTACAAACAGGCCATCATTGTGTGTGATGGCGACAACAGACCAGCGTTCCATGGAGAGTGTTTGTGTGCATGTGAGGAAGGAAAATGAGTGAAATTACCATTGAATTTCATTTCTGTAGCAGCGATGCGAATCGTGACAATCATTCAAAATGAGCGGTTAAATGACGATGGTTGTAATTCTTCCGGTGTTTTATATGCCATCTATGTATATTAAATTAGGAAATGATCATACCGAATTATGATTTCGTAACAAGACCCCATCAATGTCAGCCTTTTTCATTAACAGCTTCAAATGTCGTTCAACGAATTAAGTTATCAAATGTTCCATTTTTTTTATTTTCAATCGAATCTATAATCGGATCAAAAGTTTACGACATCATCGTCACCGAATTATTTTATTTTTATCAACTTTCCAACTCATGTAATCAATCTAGGGCTATATCATAGCGTTTTTTTTTCTTCTATAGTTTTATTTTTCGGCCGAAGAAAATTAGTTCAAGGTTTTGAAAAGCGAATGAAAAATCTGTAATAATTCAACGGGCGCGAATATACACTGTATATTATACAGTCGACATCGGATTTACACATCGCAATAAAAATAGTGAGCGCGCGAGTTGTAAAACTTAACATATCGGTCGAAAACGATATCGCACGCCATTCAATCGCGAAAAAGCAAAAACCAATGATTCAATGATAAATAATTCATTGCGCTTGCATATATTTATATTTGGGGAATGTGGCCACTCTGCTGTAATCTATACGAGAGAAAAAAAATGTACAGTCAAAAAGTTAAAGTTTTATGTATTTTGAAGATAACTTTTGCAGCGAAATGAACGATATAGAATGTATTCTTCTTCTGGACATGTATTTTGTTGGGTCATATGGCAATGACATGGAAAACAATTTTTCGTCGTTCATTCTGTGCTTTGCTCTCTATTTTCTGGTTATAACTTGTTTTTAAGCTTATGTGCACTTGTTGAACAAACGACCAAACAGGGGCTTCGACGAGAGAATGCGACGCAACACATACTCTACATACTCTACATACTATCTGGCTGCAAAATTAGAACAGATTGTTTTCTCTGTTTGTATTTGGATAATATATTGTGTATGTGTTGTGTCATATAGATATTCGGTGTAGTATGTACATATTGTGGTTACGTTTTGCCATTTATTTTGTTTGTCAACGGTAATTTACATGCTGCTGTGAATTGAAATAAAAGCACTTTGACTTTAAGGACGAAGTCTGGTTTTTGTTCAGACTTTTATTCTTTTATTTTAAAACGAAAATTCATTTCATAACATGCTGCAGCTCAAAAATTTGGTGTCTCTAAATATTGACAAATGCATGTATCAATTCATCTGCTGCCGGCAGTTGTGATGTAATTTGCAAGTGGCTTGAAAATGCAATTTTTGACTCTGTGCCAAGTTGAACAGACATCGAAATTCACACAATCATGTGCATTTTCTTATTTTTCTAAAAACATATTTTATTCAATTTGCCATGCAACAAATTTGCTTCAATCCTCTTGGCATTTGAATGGAATCGCAATATTCTGCTTTTTATTGTAGATATTTTGTTTGTACTCGTACTACGAATATGAATCAATGATTTATCTAGGTCAACACGTGTGCGTCACAATCGTCACAATTTGGCCACTATTTCGTCAAAACTCTATCTACTGTTCAAGTATGAAGTGACAAAATGTGTGTATTTTATCTGCGGACATAAATGAATGCCTTCAAAATATCAAGTTCTATGTAACGAATCGATTTCATGAATTTCTATACACATTGGCAGTTATTTCTGCTTCTTTCTCTTTTTCGAAGCGCAATTTACATTAATTAACAGCGAAATGAAAAAAAAAAAACAGTTTTTTTAACGCTGCCATAAGGTCTGTTGCCGGTTCCTTTTGTTTCACATTCGAAAAAATGTGAAGCGATAATGAAAACCAAAATACTAGCATTTTTATTGTGATTGTTTTGTTCATTGTTTTCATATAAACACTATAGTTTTGGTATGAACAAGGTCAGATTTCTTAAATTGACTCGTATTCAATGCATATAGTATTAAAACCACTCACACTAAATATGATAAAGTAGCGTTTATTATTAACGATTTTTTTTCTATCTCTATTTCGTGAACACCACTTGAGAATTTTCAAAAGTGAATTAATATTCAGCTACATTCTGTATTCGAGCACAAATTGAATGTGCCAGTCCCAAATTGATTTATTTATATAAAATTCCCCTAACAAAAAACCTGTTGAAGTAATAGCCATCGTTTTGAGTGTTTATGTTTTTGGCCTAACATTGTTAGGCGACATTCAAATCAGCGATAGAAAGCGAAGGATGGAGGGAGATAGAGAGATGTGAAATAAAAGAGCGCAGAACTATGATTGAAGCGATAAAAGCGATGATCAGCTGAATTTGTGCGTGTCTTGCACAATTGCGTTTTTATTTTGATTCTCATTCGCATTAGCGAACGCTCGTGTCTCCATACAAAAGGTCGCTACGCCATTTGGTTGAGCAATCAACACGGATCGTTGTTCCTCGTTTCATTTTTTTTTTTTTTTTGAAAGAATGTCACCTTTATAAAAATGTAACGTAGTTTTTATATTTACAATCCAAGCGATTTCTGAATATAGAAATTTTGTTTTCGAATGGAAAGTTTGATTCCAGAATTGTAAGATACTCTTTTTTTTTGCCATTATAAACAAGTTTAGTTGTTGATTTATTTGGAATTTCGACGCAAAATTCAAACGGAAAAATTACATAAAGTTTCTTTGCATCATAGCAAAATAGACGAACAAAAAGAGGTGATGATCAATAGGGAACTTGTGTAATTGCTTAAATCATGTACTAGTTTACATCATCGCACATTGATACGTAAAAATAATGTGCGCCGCACTGCACACCATTAATAACAAGCAATGAAATCGATTCCGGTATTTGTTTATGATGGCAATAGATTTTCGGTTGTACGATAATATGGTACGTCGAATTAAGTGCGTTTTAATTAATTAGACTACATCGTATGTGCATGTGATCGAACATTTGAATGCGAGCGCATAACAACGATAAATTTATTACTGTGCGTGATGCTTGAGTGCAATTTTATCAATTTGAGCGATGGAAGCGCAAAACGTCGACCGTAAATCATTGGCTGTGACCAATGCGTCCAAACCATAAAACTACTCTGTACACAATTTGGGTGTGCAAACGTCATTCGCAATGAATTTGCACAGGGTGTGTGCATATGAAACATTTCCAACAAAAGAACAAACTTTTGAAGAAGAAAAAACTCCAAGCGAATACTGCTGATGAATTCCCTGGGTCTAGCCAATAAAATAATTACATTTTCGAGGTGATTGCTCCCAAAAGTCAACCAGTTGTACACTTTCCATTGTATGTATAAATAAATATCGAGATATTGTCGTTTATTTATCGATTTCATATGAATATGTGTTGTTCCTTTGATTCCTTTGCGTAAATAATAAAAAGCATCGAAACAATAATCGTTTTAGTGATCAACAATATAACAGCAACGAGATGCGACTAATCGATCGAATATGATTCACACAACGTTTGGTTAACGAGAACATTCGTTTGTTCGTTATTTACTGCTTTCATGCTTGTTTTCTCTTGTCACGATGCAAACGATTGCGGCAAAATAAAGAACGAGGAACATACGCCTCAATTCCATATTTGGAATATAATTTAATTCAGTTATTTTGTTTTCGTGTCATTTTGTTCCTTGTTGTTTTCTTTATCCTGTTTTATTTTTCGTATTCATTTTATTTGCGCACTTTTTTAATTTATTTATTTTGCGTTCGAATGTTGAGTCTGCCTGTGTTCAAATAGTATGTTCAAGCTTGATTAGTGGTCAATAGAGTCAAGAGTAACCGAAGCGAACAGCGTCAATTGAGTGTGCTGGTTCATTTTCTCGTTCGTCGATAAAATGCAATAACCTTGAAACTATAAAAATGAACTACGACTTTTCTTTTTTTTTTTGTTGCCTTTTTGAGAAGCCTAGCACAACGCACGATACAAAGAGTGAAAGAAAACACACACTGTGCACCACTGGTCAATTGCATTGCACATTACAAGGTCTGTCTTAATGAGCTAGAAATTTTGAACGAAAAATAACAGCAACACTGATCGATATTGGAAATGTTTGATTTTGTAGCTTCCGTGATTTGAAAATGTTGTCGGGTCGCATAAAAAACAAATCGACGCTTAGCAATCAAATAAAATCATGATTGCACCAACAAAAAACCAGCAACAAATTTCCAGATTTCGGTCCGAAAAAAGTTAACAATTTTAATTATTTCGCACGACTTGTCTGCTACGTTCGTTTTTATTGTTTTCGTTTTTTGTTATATAGCATTACGATTGCATTGTTGTTAATCCAAGTCAGTAAAATCGTTGCATATCTATTACGAATTTCATGGAACATTGGGCATCTGTTACATATGCTCAATTCGCTTTCGACTCTATGGCCCCTTAAAGAGTGCTCGTTACTCATCGACCGACCGACGGCATGACCAACCGACTCACTGAATTTTGTGTCGATTGCATTTTTTTTCACGTCATGTCTAGCTGTCAAAATCCATTTTCGTTAGCCTTCCACTTTGTTTGGTTTTATATCCGACATCATTTATTAATTTAAGCTTGTCATTTCAGTGTTTTTATGTAATCACGAAAGGGAGAAACTTATTCTAAAAATATAAAAAAGGCCGTACAAATTAGATAAAATGCCATCATTACTGGAGGCAATCGAAGGAAAATACGGACTGGGAGGCAGCTGTGATCCACAGGAAGCGCTCGTATCCATCTTTGTACCCAAACTTCCACCACGACTACTGTAAGTATTCATTGTAACCGCCGTTTCGCTCAATAAAATATTACACATGTGAGTGTTCACAGTTTCACTTAAGTGAGTGAGCATAATTATATAAAAAAAATAAAAACATAGTACTTACGCATTTGTACGCATCGTCGAAAATTTACAACACATAAAAAATGATCAATTGGTCAAAATCGGTGCTACGCGATTGTCATGTTTCGAAATAGAAAATTCACGAGTATTGCAAGAGGGAGAGAGAGTTTTTCTTTGAATTTGCAATAATTCAAAGTGAAAATGGTGCGTGTATAATCGTACACATATTCGTCTTTTAACCTCAATTTCCATAGAATTGCATCTCCGTCAATCCATTCAATTCACTCCAAACAGCTTGCGGCAATTTGTGTACGATTTTTGTTTGTAAAAAAATAGAAGCACAAATTTGGTTCAACGACTATCGGATTTTTATGCAATTGCCGTTTGTTTGTTACATAAGAAAATGGCAATCAAGTCGAATCAAGTGCTATTAGTTTTACAAGTGAGTAACTGAGCAGCAGTTTTTCGTTGAATTTATTTATTTTTGCTCAACAACGACGGTACTCATATGTGTATATGCTATTATCGAATTGTTATAGTTTGTATTTTTATCTTCGTTTTCTTCTTAAGTTTTCGTTATTTTTCCGTGCTTTTGTTTTCATTTCAATTTGCTGCAATAGCAAGCACCAAACACAAAAAGTCAATGTATGCTTAAACAAACAATTAAATCAATTTGTCGCTGAATGACTTTCGGTGCATCCGCAGCTTTTCTACGACAATTTTTTTTGATTGCCTTTTTCATCGTCATCGAAAAGTGAAAGTACTTTATAACATATGTTTTTACTATTATTATTTCATTTCACAGCGTACCAGATTTGCTTGTGTTAAATGACTGTGATATCGATTGTGCTGGTGAGCCGGATGGATTGCGAAAAAAGTGCTCTACGGTGCGAGAATTGGATTTGGCACAAAATAAACTAAAGAGTTGGAAAGAAGTGTTTTCAATTCTGTCGCATATGCCACGCGTTGAATTTGTGAATTTGAGCTTGAATTTCTTGTCGGGACCGGTTGAACCGCCACCAGACATTGGATTGACACGATTACGCAGTTTAGTATTGAACAATACACGGCTCGACTGGGAAAGCGTTGAAACGCTTATCAATTCCTTACAAACACTCGAAGAACTACACCTCTCGCTTAATAATTATCATAACATTTTGATTGACACATTGGACGATGATGTTTTCCAAATTAATGACGATTACAAAGATGATCTAAATGACACCGAGGACAATGACATTGATGAGACAGCCACAGCAGCTGCGTCAGTGCAAAATACAACGAAAAACGAGGACAAACAATCCGTTTGCAGCTCATGCGGCCTAGAAACTCAAACAAGCAAAGATACAAAAAGAAGTGAGTCGATTTTTGACTATTTTCTCTATTCATTTTTTTTTTTCAATTTTAAATAAGAATTCTTATGCATCTTTTGTATAGGCGAGTCAGTTTGTTCTACATTTAAGAAAACAAATGCACACAATGGCGTGAAAAAATTACAATTTTCTGGCAATCCAGTATCGAAATGGCATGAAATTTGTCGACTTGGTCGAGTTTTTCCAAATTTAGAGTCATTAGTGTTGGCTGAATGTCCGCTGAAAGCGGTTGAGCCAATACCTCGACCCGGTTCAAGTAGCAGCGAATGCAGTGACAACAATTCATCATCGAACAGTGAAAGTGAAGATCCTCCACATCAGTATTTCCAGTACGGAACACATAGTTTGCCCTCATTACCCTTCCAAATGTATAATTTTTATTTTTTCCTTTTTTACTCACCAGAAATCTCACGTTCCTAAATTTAAGTAACACAGAGATAAACACATGGGACGACATAGATCGTTTGGCAAAATTTCCAGCGCTTCGAAATTTACGCGTTCAAAATTGGCCATTATGGGAAAAATGTGATGCAACCGAACACGAACGACGCCAATTGCTTATAGCACGTCTTCCTTATGTGCAGACATTGAACGGTGGCGGTAAAATAAGTTCCGAAGAACGTGAAGACTCCGAACGGGCTTTCATTCGATACTATGTAGATAAACCAGAAGCAGACCGACCCGAAAGGTACACCGAATTGGTTGCTATACACGGAAAATTAGATCCTTTGGTTAAAATTGATTTGCGGCCAGAGAAACGTGTCAAAGTGACATTCACTTATGGTGACACAAGCGAAATTAGACCAGTCGATGTTTATAGGTGAGTTTGAACTGTCCAAACTGTATAGATGGTTTGGCTTCTTGTACTTTATCAAAGAAAATTTTCAAATTTATTATCCTAGTCTTCGTTTGCAGATAGAAAACAATGAATTTTTGCAATCAATCACAATTTCATTTTTAGATCCGCTTGAATAAATATTCGTTTTGTCGGTATATTTCTTTTCAAATCGCAAACACGAAGGTTACATCAAATCGAACCGAATTCATTTAATCAAATAAATCAAAATTTCCACACAAAAAAAATAGTAGTTTTGGCATGTACGGACATATAAATCGAGAAAAAGTGGAGCATCATTTGAAAATGTTTTGCAAATGTTTTTCGTGATCTCATTTTTCGGTACATTTAATAAATTAAAAATCGATTTATTGAATATTTCAGAACTGTTGTTGATTTGAAGTCACGTCTCGAGAGATTGATCAACATTCCTGCGGCCAAAATGAAACTATTCTATGTTGATCAAGATTTGCGCGATACACACGGACCGGAAGAAATGAAATATATGCATAAGCAGCTATACAGCTACAATATTCGTGATGGAGACGAAATAATCATCGATCAAAAGCGATAAACATATTCATAACAGCATATTGCATCGCACGTATTGGATGCGCCACTTGAATCAATCGCACTCCACAGAGACGAGAAAGCAAACGTACATTTTAATCCAATAAAATTAATTCACCAAACAAATTTTATTTATACAAAACTTTGAAAACAACTTAACACTAATCAAATTCATTGTAAGATGAGAGCAAATATTTTTGTATCTTTTTTTTTTCGTTTACATTGAAGAATTATGTTTTTTTTTTCACTAACCACTGTGTATCGAAATCAGCTAAAACTTTATTGAGAAATAATTCTCTCAGTGTTTTTAAATTACTATTGTACGAGCTAAACTGATCTATTTTCAGTGAAGATGTTTAGTTTTTTTAACTCCTAATTTGTTTTTGCTTATAATGTCGTGATTTTTCTCCAATTTTTTATGATTATAAATTCGTATTATAGAAAAACAAACAAATGTGAGCAAATAGTCAGAGAAATGACTAGTAAAATAAAGGAAATTCAACTTGTAGTAGAAACGAGATTTAAAGAGAGTGTGAACAAGAATGGAATAAATCAAATCGATTTTATTTGCGTTTGCATTTAATGCGAGGATTTGTTATAACCTCAACTAAGTTGATTGTGTACTCATATCGTAGAGGCGGAATGGAAAATTTCGCAATAATTTTTTTGGAATTTAGAATGGCTCAATTGGTTATAACATTATAATGTGAGTGAACTATACAGCGATTTACTAGTTTTTAATTGTTTTTTTTTAGTTGAGATTTTCAATAATTTGAATGTCATTTTCATTAATCCAACACCCCCAAAAAACTGCCAACCAATTCAAATAGCCTTATTTAAATATCCAGATTTTTACCCGACAACATGTATTCATTCTAATTTAACAAAAGAAACTTCAATGCCAACGAGAGCTTGAAGCATTTTCTTTTATTAAAAATTTAAAATGAAACATAAATAAATCCAAACAATAGTCTTTGACGAATTTTACAACAGTAGGCTCATATTATGTATTCAATATCTGAATAATAATAAAAACAGATGATTTCATATTTTAAAAAAAGTTGTCAACTCTTTTCCTTTTGTTTTTCACTAGAAATATTGCGGTACTGTCTTGAGAAAGCTCAGTTTTGTCATCTTTTTCAATGCTCATTCGTTGTACTGCTCTCTTATCTTATTATATTGAAAGGAAAGATTGAATGGATGTTACAGAAGGTGGTCAATATAAAAATGTATGATATGCGAAGAATATGCACATTTTCGAATTTATCATTGAGAAAGTTGCAGATGCAAACTAGTAATTAACTTCTCTTCTATTTTGCTGGACCATCTGCTGGATGCATTATTGAAAAGGAAAAGAAAAGATTGAAATTCAAGTTCAAGTTGATTGCCGCATGCAGAAGTCGTATTCCGATTTCTATGTTGCCGTAAACCGGTTCATCTAGATGCCTTGCATTACTTGAAAATGATGAAGGAGAAACCAATGAACAACATTAAATTGCATCATAAATCTTTTTAAATCAACGTTTATAGTTTAAAGTTCACATTCTTTGCTTTTCAATGGTAATCAAATATTAAAAGATCGATAACTTTTGTATGTAATCGACATGAGATTGTAATAAATATTACATTGCTTTAGTAATGTTACGAACGTTAAAGACATGATAGTTCTAAATCAATGCATTAAAACGAACTCATGTGTGGAGCAGCCACATATATTGATATCACGCACGTTTTTGACGCACCAATATGCGTTACCTGACTTATATGAGTCGCACCTAATCTAAGAAAATGCATCGCAATGAAAATGATTTTTTTTTAATTCAAACCAACTAATTCAATTGATTTTTCACATTTTTACTTTTGTTGGTAGTCAATAATAAATTTTCGAATTTTTATCAAATTATCATTCAAAAGGTATATTCGATGAAAACTTTTTCAAATATTCCATGTGATATGTTTTTTATAACTTCTTCGATACTCTTTCAAACATAAAAAATAGATAACTTTATTTCTTTCAACATCCTAATATAAAAATAATAATTATACTTATTTTTATTGAAATAATTTTTTAGCTTAATTTTTTTGAAACTTACGAACATAAATAAAGCAAAAAATATCGAGAAGTCATATCAATACAATGCTGAGTTAAAAAAAAAGTTCTAGCAAAGCGAAGTTTCGATCTTCGGACCTCTGGGTTATGGGCCCAGCACGCTTCCACTGCGCCACTTTGCTCTTGTTATATTTTGTGACAAATATCATACATATTCATATGTGGCTGCTCCATTCACACCATTTCTCTATTATTTCCGCATTTTCTATGAATTTTTAGGCATAATTATGACTAACATGAGCATTTTGTTATATTTTGCTTTCATCTTTTTTGATGATTTTTATACAAATTATTCTGAACTAAGGTATTCAATCAATCTCTTTTTTAGTTTGAAATCAGTTTGATGTCAAGAAATGGCTTTATTATTTGATTCATTATGCTCAATAGTTGGCTAAAAAAGATGATGCAATCGCAATGTTTGTTTGTAAGTCAAAATATAGCATGTACACTATTCGGCATTTCTATCACTGGATGTGCGCAAAACTTTGGATTTTGTTTATGTTTTAACGTAAAAGTTGTAGACAAACTATACGACTACCATATATTAACAGAATCGTACAGAAAAGTCATTAAACAAAAGGTCAAAGTAGTAAGAGGAAAAAGGATATGAAGGCTCACGTGTTAATTGGGCTTTTGATTGTTTTATACCCATTCTAATCATTCACGAACATCACATGAATGGGTTTTAAATTCGTCCGTGAAAAATTTATTTCATGGAAGAGCTTTTTATGCTGCTTTTTTCTTTCACAAAATTGGATTTTTTTTTATATTTTGCAGTAAGAAAAAGATATACAAGCTATATCCTAATAAATTAAACACAACTTTATTAACCATTTTCAAAAAAAAGAGAAACGTTTCAGTTTCATTTTCAAAACTATTGATTTTTTTTCATCAGTTTATTAGTAATAATTAAAGTAAATAATACTATATACAAAAAGGCTCTAAATCTATATCTATTCTGTTAGTTTGTGTTTTTTTTATGATTATAGTTTACATATAAATCTTTCGTAAATCGGTTGGCGATGTGATCATATTACATTGTGGACAGAGTTTACGAGCTCCGAGCGTTCGAAGCCAACATTCTTCGCAATGGACGTGCCAACAACAAATGGAAACAACCGGTACTCTAAAATTTATTAGAAAAAAAAAATAAAAATAATTTTAAACGTTTAAATTTACATTTTGAATATGTGAATTACCTAAACTCGTCCATACAAATCAAGCATTTACTTTTATTTTTAATGATGGCTTCATATTCGCGGATTTTTTCTTTTAACGCATCAATAATTTGTGAGGCGGCCGTTTCACTTTGTGCCACCGACGGTTGATTTGTGATAGCTACTGTGGTGACTTCTTTCACCGATCCATCTTTTAAATCGATCGTAATTCGACTGCTGCTCGATGTACTTTCGCATTTGATTTCAGTTTCAGCAATGGAATGATTCACAAACGAACTACTTGTTGTTGGCTGCACGAAATCATCGTCACCATTCTCAAATGCTGAACTACCGATTCCATTTCGCGAATGAGTTGAATTTGTTTTGTCAGTCGCTTCACCGATTACCAAATTTCTTAGATAGACATTTTCCTTTTTGTTATTGTCGACCATTGGTAAAATTATATCACGTTCGCTGTACTGCGGTTCGCCATAGATTTGTGAATCATCTCCATCCACATTAAGATCCTCGTCTTCGTCGTTTTGACTTGATTGACCCATAGAAGTGGTTTGAAGACCTGAAGATACAAATCGAAATTAAAAACTTGAATTGAAATTGCTGTATATTGAAATAAGAATGTATTTTACCCGCTGCTGTATAACCACCTTCAAGCATCGATGATGCTCGAATCCGAGTTTGACCGGCCCATTCGTATTCTTCATATGATTCACCTTCCACATCAATACTAATATCATCGTCATCGTCTTCAACGTTAACACCACTCGAGCTACCGTTTCTCCGTAAACAGAGTTCTACATGAAGATTTATGTCATCCGATATACGTTCATTGCAAACAGGACACGTTGGGTCATCTGCTCGTCGCTTACGATTTTTTAACTATTATTTTAAAAAAATGTTTTATTAGTAAAATGTTATTTCAAAAGATGAAAATTCAAAGTAACTCACCTTAAGTCTAGCACTTCGATTGTTTTTAATGCGTTGGTATGTGTTCCAACAATCCTTCGGATCGGCTGATGTGTTTGCTGTGCTCGCTGCGCTTGCAGTCGATGATGAATTGCCGGCGGTTGGTGAAGGCATGTTAATATCTTTTGATTGTGATTTCCGGTATTTTTGCACACTTAATTTATTTAAACGGTCCATTTCCATCGAATAATGTTGTTGCATTTCATGTGATCTCACTGTTATACCACAAACAGGACAACAAGTTGGATCTGCTTGTTTTTTACGCTGCCGAACGCCACGACATTCATCATCCATCATTTATTCAAAACAAAATTTAAAAAAAACGAGTAATTTTTAAAAGTTTTTTTGCTCACAAACAAAATTATTAGTTTCCATTCAGTTTGTTGTCAATCTCATTTCGTTTCTGTAATCGAACGTAATTCTTGCCTTTCCTTTTACACATTCAACATGACTTTTTCTCGCATAATTGGCGCTATTCAAATTAATTCACGTTGAATTTTATGACATTTTACCATTTTACTGGAATTCAATGGCATCGATCAAACAATAACAACAATTATAATTGGCAAAAATTTAATTCGTACTCATTGCCATTTACACTACATATCACTCGTTCATGTTATGTCCGATATAGTCGAAATGGATGTTGTTTGTGTGTCCCGTCAATAAAACAATTTTAATCACTTTACATCGCAACGACAATATTGGCGAAATGACGCAAAACGCATTGAATCACATTCACAAAACTTCAACAAATTTGGCCGTACAATTATTTTTGGTGAAAAATCAAAATAAATGCCATTGGCATAAAACAGAAAAAAACTCAAAACGACAACTAGAAAGTCAAAAAGACGATCAAAATGAAAACAAAACGTTGAAACACCGCAAAGTAAACGCAACTCGTGCGTTTGTATTAGAATTCACATCACAATGTGTTAGTTTTGCTAACTCAATGCATTGGGCAGACAGAGTACACTATATACGACGACGTTTTTTCTCTTTCTCAAACCGTTCAATCGTTCAAATGTACTGTCAAACACCATGACAGCCAACTGAAAAACATAAAACATTAAAAAAATATTTGAAGGTGTGCGCCAAATGTTGGTAATATTGAATAACAAGTTTATAAAACATTGAATTTGATTTTCACAAACAATTTTCTTTATTTAATGAAAAAAAAAAATCTCTATATCGAAAAATCTACATCGTATACCAAAATGTTCAAATTCTTTAAGGTAAAAAGAGCTTAATAATATAAAATATTAATTAGAATATTTGCCTTCTTTATAACATTAACATTTGATCAAATTTATATACTTTAAATATTCATATATTTTTTTAACAATTTCAATGTCAATAAATGGCATAAAAATCTCATCGTATTTATAAGCCAAAGAAAGATTAAGAATATTGATTATAGTGTAAGATAATAGGGCTATAACACTGGTGCTAAAGGTTCCTTTATATTATTTCAAGCTGAAAGGTGATCATTTGTGTTCACAACCTAATAAAATTGATAACAAACAGTAATAGTATGTAATATTGAAGTATAAGGTCGGAGTGAAATTATGTGAATTTTATTTTAGTAAAATTGAAGAACAAAAAAAGGTTGTCACTTTTCAGAACGGAGTTGTTTCAGCCAATGGTCAAAAGTGAGTACCAAAAATACTGCAGTAATAAAACGAAACAATTATTAGGATTCATAGGTGATGACGAGGGTTCCGAAATAATTAAAAAAACGTAATTTGGTTACCATCTCCAAAATGAAAATGCAACATGCCAAGCCCACCATGCTGTAAATTAGTTCGATCAAAATAATGGAGCTGTAGATTTTTGATGAATGTAAAAGCCAACTGAAAATTATAAAAACAAAATATTTCATTAAATATTGTATAAAATATTGTATAAAATTGGAAATAAAACTTTTAATTAGTCTCTAACGGAAATTTGAAGGTCAATAAGTTTGCAAAGTAGTTCCTTCTTCTCGTTTTCATTTTTATCAGGATCATTCAATATGCGCAGCTTATGTTGAAACATTTCATAAAATGCTTTATGATGAAAGCGCACTGAAACAAACATCAACATAACGAAACCAACGTTATTTTATACCATTAAATGGATGCATGATCCACGTTGTGTATTATTGAAACGAATACAAAAGTGATTCGTCTTCATGTCTTGGGCTTCGTCCAAAGACAAAATTGAAATAAGTAGCAAATTTTTTGCTTATCGTTCCTCTTCCTGATGTATAAAACAGCTATATCCCAGGTATATTCGTAAATTGCGGCTACTTAGTACATTTTGTGCCATTTATTGAAATTTTTAGGAGTTGATTTCAAAGAAAAATTCTCAAAATCTAAAGTGTTTCTCTGATCTTCCCAAAATAAAATGGTAAAATATTGTAGAATTCACTTATTGCTAGTTGTAACTAAAATTTATTTATCGTTGAGAATAAATTCAATAAATGTCCATGTAAATGTCACATAACGAAAATGTACGAATTGGATGGTGGGATATATTTCTAGTCAGTTTTATTGTATGGATATTGATGTATGTATTTAATTAAATATTTAGAACATTGGACAACTAATATTATAGTGTGAATAGTAAATCAATATGAACTTTGTAGATTCGTCAGACTTTTTAGCCAATGAGAAATAGACTGCGTCATGTGCAGACATTGAAAACTTTCCCCGACTCAGCGGATCTAGACCGAACAGGATAATTATAGAGAATAGAATTTTTTGTACATGCAGATCCACGTACATCATTTTAATGACAAATGCATTTGATAGTTGAAACAAATTGAGTGCTCTAACTTTCTACAACTAAAATCGATTTGCATTCACCTACATAGAATTTTTAATAAATAATAATAACGATCTCAAATTGTCCCATTTTTTAAAGAATAATCATCGATGATAGCATACACTGAATGGTTATTTTAAAAATTTGTAATTGTTTTATACGACAGCTTACACCTGGTACGATAATTGTGATATAACATTTTTTTTGTGTTGTTTTCTCTCACTCTCTCCTCTTTCTGTAAATTATCATTACAATTCAGTATTGATTATGATTATTTCAAATATGCACATGTGTAGTTTGATTTTGGTTTCAAGATAAATCCGTTGAAAAATCTAAAAACTGTACAAATTGCAATGGCAATTGCAAAATATGAACGGACGTGTGACAGTGTCATTTCAGCGGTCTTCCGTGTTTTTCATACAAGCCTCCCATGTAGATGGTAAAAAAATGGCGAAAAATGAAAAAAATAATTAAATTTTTTTCCTTCAATTTTCAAATACTACTCAATTTTCTGTATCACCTGGTGAAATCAGAATGAAAAAATCGCATTCTTTATCATCCAAATCACGATCTGGACTTTTTTCACTGTTTGAGTGCTCTATACCGAGTCTCCGAGAGTTTCATATAAACTTGCTATGTGATGCCTATTGAATAGTAAGCGAATACCAATCGTGATTGAATCGATAGGCGTTATTTGGCTATTACAAGGAGAGTTTATATGAAACTCTCGGAGACTGAGTATATTGCACACAACAGTAAAAAAATATAATGCGATCAAGAAGCACACAACAATGAAACTTGTTCAAAAAATATTAAAGACAGAATCTTGAAAAAAGAACATGTGGATTTTTGAATTGTTTCACTCTTTCTTTTAAAGTTTCTATCTTCTATGTGCATATTATTTGAGTCATGATTTTTCTCAGCCATTCAAATATTCTACAAATTTTCATAATTTAACAATAAAATATCAACTTTCTCGACGGAAATCTATACAAATTTCGGACTACGTGTATTCTGTGATAAAATAAATAAAATCACAATCTATTCGATTCAGCATAAGCCAGAGTCAACAAACGGCACTGACAAATATGTTGTCTTCAATTTTTTGAATTTTCATAAATTGGCACTTTTTATTTGCCATTTATTCATCGACGGCAATTTTCGAACTGGACACTTTCTCTACGATCCAAACGCATTACAAATCAATCAATTGATAACGGGCATTCAATCAATTTGTCAGCATTCGTTTCCACATCTTTTGACCGACATCACCAAAGAACCAGTTCAGTTGCCATGGAAGCCATACGAGCACACCAATCACATTCTTCAATTGATTTTCTTCGACATCAATAATTGGCCAGAGAATATCGATGATCTCAAGGAATTGTTCACATTTTATCGCCTCTTTGTTCTTTTTTCATCCATCGAGCATACCGGAAAAATTTGCTTCATATTTTAACTCCAATAATCTAATTCTGCATTTTAATTCGGAAACGGGTTCAATCAACGTTCAATTCATTTCCAAACACAGTAAAATATCTGAAGAAAATCATGGAAAGCAAAAGGAACCTGAAGTGCAAAACAGAAAAGTCATTGAAAATCTCTTTGAACAAAGTGGAATTAATGAGTTTAGAAAGATAAATCTATACAACTTGATATTTAAAAAATATGAAACTGATTGGAAGCTAGTGATAAATAATCGTTTACCAATGATTTGTGAACATAATGAAACAGTACGAAAAACGTATAATACTTACGACGGAGCTGGTTTTATTTTGAATTGGTTATACGTAAATTTAAATGCAACAGCTAATGCCACAAAAAGTTCTCTTGCAACCAAAATCTTTCATTAGAAAAAGGAAAAATTTATCAAAAAGTTTATCCCGAATATCGTAAATTTTACAAGGGACTCACAGAAACATATGAATCCGTTGGAATGGAAAAACTGTAAGGAAAAAAAGTTATTATAAAATTATTATTTGTTTTTGGTTTTTTCCATTTGAAACTTTCAGAAAGGAATTAAATGCTGACATATCCAAGATTCTGCAATTTAGCATGAGCATACTCGACGGATAATCAAATGAACAATATTTCATTCTATCCGTATCGTTTTATAAAATTATTGGTGATTTTTGTCTATGGTTCTGATTTCAAGCGCAAACATTATCGAATTATCAATGATTCAGAGGTGACCATAAGCGGTTCAGTCTTTGCATATTTCTTGTTGGCTGCAATCGTGCTTCGTTATGTACGCCAAAAGAATCGGCTTCGACGTGATAGTTGTATTTCATCATTCATCGATGTTATTATCAGTTTCTTTGCCGGCGGAAATCTGAGCATGAGACATAAACTTGAAAGATTGATCTTTGGAATCTTGCTGATTGGCGCTTTCTTTTTGACAACGTTCTGGTTTCAATTTGGTTTGTTTCCATCGTTTCTTATACGTTAACAAAGAATCGATACATTTGACGAATTAGCTAAAATAAATCCACCAATTTACTCAAACTTTGGACTCAAAGGCAAAGACAAGATCGTTGAGCAAATGCTAAAGTTGGTTTTATTGTTTGGTGTGTCAAATTTTGAATTCAATTCGTTTTTTTTTCTTCCGAAATAAACTTGGATCAAGTGATAAATACAATTACCTTAAAATACCATTAATGAGTTTAATTCTCAATCATAGTGATTCGTTTGCTTATGTGGTTTCAGAGGACTTGTTGAACTATGTTAAGGTGTCAGTAAATGGACATCGTAACTTTGACCTATTACCGGATTCAATTGGTATTTGTTTGAGCTGACTTTTGTCATAAAATTATTAAAGTAATAGATACGAAAATATGTCCTGTTCATTTAATGTAGCAGTTTAATGTAGCATTCCATGGACAGAAGTTTTCTATAATTAATTTAAATTTGCAATATTTTGATCATTTTAGGTAACGTATATTACCAATTCTATGTTAAAACAGATATTGAACATATTCCTGAACCAGTGATACGCAAAGTTAACGAAGCATCTATTTCAATGTCGGAATATGGTTTTGTTGAATTTTACTCGTCTTTTTCGGCTTTCATTTCGGAATTTCGATTGAAGCAATTTTTCGGCAATGAAGTTGATGACGATTATACTTTGACTGTGGATCACCTAAAGATTCCGATAATAATCTATTTGGTGCTTACGGGATTTGCTTTGATTATTTTTGTAATTGAAATAATTGTTCACAAGGTGAAAAATGTCAAATTTTGGTGGCTACCAGAGACGAACTAATTAAATCGTCATTAAATCCGAAAAAAATTTCTCATCATTTAGTACATTATTTTTTGATCCGATGAATACTATGTTTATTGGTCAGACATAAATTGATTTTTAATGACACCCGAAATTTACCCCAGATTTTACCTGAACTGAACTCTACTCAAGAGTCCAAATTACACACGGATATCACCCTTTAGTGGGCATAGTAGTGAGTGAAATAAAAGCTAAAATAAGGCTCAAAGTATAGCATGATTTGACTTCCTGAAATGATGATTTTAACACACAAATTGTTCCTTGGGCATGCAATATTTTTTTCTTTTAAACACCACAATCTCTCTCCTTTTTGGGTATGAATGCTTTTGAATATATAATTACAAAATAAAATGTCGAATCTCAAATGTTACTGATTAAATGTGTAGCTGAATGTCTGCTCACGCCCATACGAGAGAGCAGGAATTGAGATTTCTTAATTCATTTTTATCCACAGCGATAGAAATATTATTAAATAAAAAATGATAAACTCGTCTAAAATTTCATTCTACTAATCAGTTAGTTTATAAATATGTATATCATTACATCACAAAATTATCACAAGTTCATTTAGAACATTGAACGCAAATTGTGCCTTTCATTTATTAAATCAAATATACAATTCGATAAAAAAGCAGGGTGAAGTCGATTCATCTTAAAAAAATTTTGGCTTTAAATCCAATAATTGATATCAGTTGAATTGTTTAAATGAAGATGAAGTCAAGCATAATACCAATTATTTTAGTGTTTTTATTGATATGTATGTGTGTGAGAAAACAAAATTTTGAAATAAAAAAAAAATTCAGTTTATTATTTGTTTTTCTTCCTTAATTTTGTTATAGCATTGATTTGTAGTCAAATGTTCTATCCCAAGCATAAAGTCATCAAAAAATATCATTTCATAACCACATTCAAGGTAAACTGTGAATTTTATAAAGTTAACAATAAAGAGTATATTGAATACATAATTTACATCCAGGCAAATTGGCATAAATCTTTCTATCATTGCCGCTCCATTGGAATGAATCTAGTTAGTATATCGTCGAAAGCAGATAGCGATCAAATCACACAGCAAATCAAAGACCAAGGTAATTCTTGAAGTTACACTCATACTGTGCGAAGAAAAACGGAATGACTTGGGGTATACACTTATTTTTGTTAAAGGTCATGAAGGAAGTGCATTTTGGACATCGGGAACAAAATTGGGTGACAATATAACGTGGTTATGGATGGGTAACGGTAGACCAGTCAGTTTTACTAATTGGGCACCTGGGCAGCCGGACAATCTCAATCACTATACTGAGAGTTGCATAAACATCTTTAGCAATGACATGGTCTGGGGTCCAAATACGGCTCAAAAATGGAACGATATTCGTTGTAGCCGTGAATTGAATATTATTTGTGAAGAAAGTTTGATTGAATATGAATACTGTTCCACTTAAATTACCTGAAAAATTGGACAAAAGACAAAAAACCAATTGTACAAACGACAAAATATGACAAAATTAAAATAGACAATTTAATCATTTTTTCTTCAGATATAATCGGGGATAATATTTGTATTGTCCAGATGCACTCATAGTCATTTTGAAATGGAAAAATGCATCTCAATGAATTGAATTGAGGACAACTTACCTATTTTTTTAATATACATGTCTATTGACTATATAGTATATACGTATCTGAAAATTGAATAAAATTGGAATGAAACGCAATTTGTTTAATTATTCATTGGGTCATATTGAGTTGAATTTTGCATTTTATTTGCATCCAAATGAGTGTGTAAAAGGTGCGAGCAATGGTTTACATTTAAATTGGTTAAGAAGAAATTAGCAATATTCAGAACATACAATTATATGTATTCTCTAGAGATTTGTGGAGTCTGAATGAGTTTTGACTATAACATTCATTTTATAGTTTCTAATTTCTAAAGGGTTTGTTTGTTTATAGTACATTGTTTAAATAGATTCTTAAGTTTTAAACACATAAAATCTACGTAGATATTCAATTGTGTTCATACATGTTTGAGAAGAAATGTGTAAATTTGTATACATTTCTTCCTTTGCAAAAATTCAGCTACGAATCGAACTGATTTCGTTTTTTTTTTTTTTTTTTTCTCTTAAAACCAAAAAAAAAATCATTGTCAATAAATTGTTTTTATACAAAATTCAATTAATTCGAATAATTTCTAAATCAAAGGTAGAATTTCTAATTGTACAAAAAAGTAGTTAAATGAAAGCGAAATGGAGAAAAACCTAGACGAAATAAATATACAGAACATAAAATTTGTGTTTTTCATTCTTTAAAATTAAAATAATACGAATTTCTGATTATTTTTTTACTATTTTGTAGTATTTTTTATGTTTGATTTTGAGTTTGGGCTATGATTTATTTGCCATTTTATTTAAAATCATCATCGGAGAACTTGATTATGGATATACGATCTATTTGAATCTATTATATTTTTGGATAGTTTTCTTGCTTAAAATTAGTAGATAGATAATGGTGACTGGATGATGAACATGAAGGTGTACGGATAATGGAAGGGAAATCAAAATAAAAGAAATGCATTTTAATGTTACAATTTTTTTTAAATGTTTCATTTGTTTTTATTTTCTTTAAATTGTAAAATATCGTTGTCAAAATAGAGAAGAACGTTGGGAACATTAGTGATACACTTTGTTTTGATGATTTTGGTGAATTGTTGTTGTTTGCTTTTTGGATAGGGATGCGAAAATAATGAACTTATAAATGTAATGCTGGGGTTTGTGCTGTGCCACTGTGATTAAACACACAAACACAATATTTTGGTTTTCTTTTTCAAATCATCTTTTGAAACAAAAAAGATGTCTTTTTCGTACATATATATTGAGCAATAGTTTTGTTGTTGTTTATTTATTTCGTTTGAATATTGTTCCAAACGGAATTTGAATTGCTTAGCAATGTGCCGAATGATTTGGATTAATAGTCGATGAATTCGGTGATTGATTCACCGTTTCGTATCGTTGTCGTAGACTACTTAATGCGCTGAGCAATCGATTGTTGGCTGCATCTAGAGCGGCAATTTGTTGTCCTTGCGCTTCGATAACGCGTTGCTTATGGGTCAATGCAACAGACATTTTCATCTGCTCTTGTCGTAATTCCTTTTCCATGGAAATCAATCTGTGAGGGTGTGATCACAATTGCATTGAACATTTTGTCGTATATTCGCGGTAATAATTTATTTATAGAATTGAGAAAAAAAGAGTTCACTCACTTTGTAATAATGTTTCGCATTTTGATGTCACTATGCGGTTGCATTGCATGATGTTCATCATTCGAGTCACGGCCACCAATGTCACTACCATCTTCCGTACGATGAGTCCGAAGGGCATCTAACGATGATTGAAGTCGTTGAATTTCTCGTTCACATTGTTCAATTGTTCGCGGGATACGACGCGTTCGTTTACCGTCACTTCTAATGAGTTCTGCAAATACGAATCGATAAATAACTTTGATGTTTCTATGTGAATTTCAATAAAAAAAGAGAGAGTAAAATTAATAACAAACCTTCACCCTCCGATGAGCTATCTGATCCAGAGTGTGGAGAATCAAGGCTTGTTCGTCTCTGGAAGCGATGATGATGATTGATATGATTGTGATGTGCCAATGGTTCAATTGGATCTTCGCGTTTGTACTGTAATTTGAAAGAAAAATTAAATTGTAAAAAAATCTTTGTCTTTTTTTTTCAATTTTCAATACAAAAATAGACAAACCTGCATCATTGGATTTGTACGTGGCATTCGATTATTGCTTCCGGTCAATCGTTTTACAATTGAACTGTTGCCATTCAATGTACTGCTGCCGCAATCATCGTTCAACGAATGTTCTTTGTCACTGCTACTCGTTAGCGTGCCATTTAGGTTGCTAATCAATCCGGCGACCGTGTTACCATTTGAATCGTCAAGTGCATTCGATTGACTAAGCCTTTCATCACTGCTCGACGGTGTTAGCGACGACGATTGTTGTGAAACTCTTGAATGAATTTGACTATAGTGTTGTCTTCGTCCACCTTTACTATTTGTCGAACCAACATTATTGTTAATTGCAATTGTTGTACCATTCGTCCCATTAATGCCGATCGCATTTTGCAATTGGTAAAGTGGGTTTTTAAATGCTAGCGCACTGCCATTCATCATATTTGCATTGTTATTGTTTCCATTTACATATTTTTGATATTTTGCCGTTGATGAAATGTGTTGGCCGAGACCTCGTCGCGTTTTTATGCTGTTGCTTGGAAAATCAATTGGATTCGACACATTCACACCGCTCGCCAAATCGACTGGACTTGTTGAACTTTGTGATTGTGTTGTAATACTTTGATAGCCCGAACTGCAGTGTCCAATGGATGTGCTGCTTCCAACTTTGGCTGTCTTAATTTCGTCACCATTGCTCGTTGCCTGTTCATCGGCATACTTTAACAAATCGTCCAAGTCTTCTAGTTTCATTGGCATATTTGAATTATGATTGGTTGTTCGAGCTGAAACAGCATGCAATGGATGCGGTGGATCATGTGGTATACCCAAATCCAAATTGAATTTACCATTAACATGTCCCAATTGACTGCCACCCCGGTCACTCAATAAACTCAATTGTGAACCCCGGTCACTCAATTGTGAACCGTTCCGTTGCATCATGTGTGTATTATTGTTATGATTTTGTGATTTCAACAATGGTGTTGGACTCTTTCGTACAAAAGCCGACGATGTATCCAAACCGATTTGAATGAGATTCGAATTCTTTGACGGTGACGTCGTTTCAATGTGAATGCCATTATTGGTGCCGGTAACTGGTAGAATGTTATTGTTGCGTGGCAACGTATTTGCACGCAACGATGGACTACGTCGACCATTCAAAGCAACACCATTCGATTGGTAATAGTGTGATGTAGTGTTAAAATTACGCGGTGTTGATGCACTCGATTCCAAATAAACATTACTCTTGTACTGTTGATGCTGAAATCAATGACAAATACATTAAATACCGTTGTAATCCGATTGCAAACGAAATGTTCAAGTTCTTAATTACCTGTTGTTTTTGCTGTTGCTGTAAGTACGCATAGCGTTCAGGGCTGGGTGCATGATTTTTGTGATGATGATGATGTACGGTAGTGGACAATAAATGATTTTGATAGTTATTTGGATTGGACATCGACGATATGCTCGAAGTTGAATGTGAATGTTGAATTGGATTCGAATAGATGCTGCTTTGGCTCCGATTGATAACGGTGCCATCTTGATTATGATTTAACAATGGTGACACCGTCGGATCATTGTATCGGAAAATATTTTCTGAAAATGAATAATTTTTGTTAATTATTGGCACTTGTAAATTTAAACGTTTCTATCGTTTTCTTTCTTTCTCTGAATTACATGAAATTATATTCATGATTTGATATCTTACTTTCCAATGAGCTCGGCGTAAGTACACCTCGCATAATGCCACGTTCTCCGTTGCCCAATGGCTTGATTATTGTGTTCGATGTAATATTGTGACCACTTTCCGATCGAGACAATGTGTGATGACCATTTGATTGGCCATTCTCCGATAGATTGGTTTGCGAAAGACCGAAACTGTTGGACAGTTTGGCCCTTGTAATTTCACCCAAAATGCCCTGCAATTCGACCAACTCATTTTGACGTGGCAACGGTAATTTCGGAATATTTTCCGACAACAAGTGGTGTAAAATGGCCAATTGTTTGCCTTCATCTATGTAACCGGGCCAGTCAAGTATCGTATCAACGGGTGGTTGTGTTGATCGTGTTGAAATTTGATGCAAAAACTCTTTCATGCGCGGAGCCTCTTGTTCAAGGAAATCGTTCAGGAATTCCATAAAGTCTTCTTTACCTTGGAATCGCGTAAAATTGGCCAATGTTTGTAATGTTTTTGCAACCAACGTTAAATTTCGCGTTGCTCGTTGCGATGGAAGTTCTATAAAATATCAAGAAAAATTGTTATTTATTTGCTTTTCAATGTTTTGAATTTTGAATATCTCTCTGTTTTAAAATCAGACATTTACCATTCTTAATGTTGAATAAACTTGGTGACAGAATTGCTGGGCACAAAAATCGCAAAAAGATTGATGCGCTAATCAAATTGTCAGCCATATCTTCTCGGTTTAATTCGATCAATCGTTCTCTGAATGTGGCAAAGCATTCGCGTAATTGCGGTGGAAAGTTCCTATTAATATCGAGTGACAATTAGTAATAATTCAATTTAATTGCTTCTGTATTTTGAAAATGTGAATTAAAAACGATCGATCACTTACCTATGCGACTCGGCAATGCTGTTCCATGTATTTTTAACGGCATTGCGTAGAGCTTGCTGTTGTCTCGATAATGAACCGTGTGCTTTTAATGGATCCACTTCAAAATCTTTTTCCGACGTAATAATTTCGGTGATTGGACCAGACAATGTATCCTGTAAATATTGTTCGCCGGTCAATTTCAAAAATGCTTCCATACTTTTGGTGGCCAATGAGTTTCCACGGAACGTTAACCGTTGATCGTCCACCCGAAGTAAATCTAATGCCACAACATCAGTTAAAAACGGTCCAGCCAAACCGTGTGCCTGCATCAACAATACCAACGCTTGTCCAATGTCTTCTTTTGGTTTAACCAAAATAACCGGCTCTAATATTTCGCACACTTTCTTATAGTTTTCTTTTAAGTATTGCAAAAATTCCGAATAAATTTCAATGGGCAAAATGTCAATGCTTTGGAAACGGCATTTTATCCGTAATGTTGGTATTGGTTCTTTGGTCGAGTTACGACTAAAACTATCGTGCTTCTCTGATACAATTGGATACCAATCTTCGGTAAATTCACGCGTTGTTTTTGTCACATCATGTATCGGAATTTTAACCGATCCAACCAGAATGTGTTTGTCACGTTTTTTCTTTTTGTCACCCTCACGATATACATTCACTGTAATCACATTGATGTCGGGTATATCGGGAAAATCAAAATATTCACCCCAAAACAAAAGATCGGTCTTTTGTTTTACGCTCGTTCTACCGTACAGTGTTTTATCCAAATTTATTTCGCAGAAATAGCGTTTTTTCGGTGTAATTGCTTTGGCTTCTTGAATCCACATTTTAAGTGAATTATCGGTGTGTCGCTGATGCTCAGCATTTGGTGCAATCGATTTGCGTAAACTGTATATCCATAAATCACGTTCTTGTCGTGATCCACAACTGTAGTATCGTTCACCGCGTGGTCCACCGCGCACTTGAAAACAATGCCGTCGACCAAGAACGGATTGATGAACGGGCGCAACACCAACGGCACCCGTACATGACAAATCAATCGTTGACATTACGGCATGACTCGATAACAACGATTCATGTGATCGTGAACCACGCAAACCGCCCGGTCCTCGCTTTGATCGCTCCAATTTTGTCACAGATTTTGTTCGTTTCAATGGATTCGATCTGAAAGAACTAAATAATATCGAATTAAATTCTTTTTTTTTAGAAAACAACATTTCCTTGATGGCTTTGTTATTAAACAGCGAAGGGAAAAAAGAAAAAACAACCTACCGTTTTGAGAAAAAATTTGTGAATCGTGATGTGGACTGTTGTTCAGGCGGATTCTTTTGGCCCAATATCGGCGTTGATGGAGCCGAACCACGGCGACATGCCTTTTCATATGATGTGTCTGATGAAGAAAAAAAATAATAGAAGAAATCAATTAGTTTAAATGTAATTTTAGAGGTTTAGATGTATTTAAGCAAATGGCAGTGGTGAAGTCATTAGTCATCGGTCATTATCATTTTAAATAGACATGTCATATTTTTTCATATTCTCTTCCCTCGTTTTCTATTTACTTCTGCTTATCGTTATACTATTTTCATTGTCAGAAATCCATAACAAAAGTGCATTGACTCCAGCTCAATGTGTTCTTTGAATTGTGCGATCATTTATGATTTGGTTTGTTTTTTTTTTCTTCGATGTGATTGATGGCTACCGAACGGTTTCTTTTTCATTTCGGCGCATTTTAATCAATTTTTTTCCTTCTTCGTCGCAAAGACGAAATGAACGAGAAATCCAAAATGGTCAAACAATCGTGACTCGAATGTTTATCGATGAATTTCGGCCTAACATTGTAATGAATATTCATTTCAATGAAACTCGCAAAGCATTTTTTATCATAGACTATCGTATTTTGGTATCGTTTCAGTATCCCAAAAAAAACACAGTTTAATTTCAATTTGATTGCTAAATGTACTCTCGAAAAAAATCATAACGTTTTGCATTGATTATTTGAGTTAAAATTGAATTTGAATTTCGTTTGATATTCCAAATGTCAAAATAAAGTTGTGTGGCAATCGAAAAGGGCAACCATTCACAAATCGACAACTTAATTGTTAAAACGGCGCCAAATTTTGCATGCGTAGCGTACACGCGATTGCATAACAAAACCATAAATTAAGAATGAACGACAGCAAGAGAGAAATAACTTTAACGTTACACTATTCAATTCCATGCAAAATGTGAATGCAAGCAAACACACACACTCGTTTTTTTTTTCACGACAAATTCCACGATAATAACAATCAACGAATGAGGTTTTTTTCACTTGGCATTCTCTAACAAAAAAAATTTCAATTATTTTATTTAGTTTCATTATTTACGGTCGGTTTTTGTGGTCGGTGATTGCTGTGAACGAGCGAGTGAGCGAGCGGACACGGTTTTACTGCATCTTTTGTTCACAAACCTAAATCACATCATAAATAATATCAAATGCATTTACTCTATGAGAGTGTGTTTGCGGCTCGGTTGAAAAAAAAAGACAACGGTAGTAAAACATACTAGTTAAGTTGCATGAGTACTCGATTGTGACTGAATTCAATGTATGTACACACAAATATCGTTTACTCGGTCGCATACATTTGAGCATATAAACCGAGTAATCACTCGAAATCGATCATTCGCTTTTCTCTGTTTTGCTCCATCTCTCGCCTCTCTCTTTCTATTAATGGAATGTTTTAATGCATTTTGATATAGATTGAAACGGTTCTTTCGATGGATTTTCATTGGTTCGTTAGTAAATAAAAGGAGACGTAAAACACCATTGAAATCAAACTCCGGCCAATGAACCACAAATCCAATCGTTTCATTTAAGTTTTATGGTGACGGATAGTGTGTGCGTTTGTGAGTACTTCATTAATGTCTCGAGAGATGGTTTTTACCATTTTGACACTTGGTTTTGAATTGATTCTATTTTGTTTTGCTTTTTTTAATGGTGGCGTTCTCTCAATCTCTCACGCTAGTCTATTGAAATTAGAGGTATAATGATTTTACACTCTTGAAATTTATAGCAGGCAATTAGAATGATTGTAAATGACTAAAATTTCATTTCAAAATGGTCATTTGAATGTCACAGATGTTTGTTTGTTATAAAAACTTAAATTTGAAAGCTCATTTTTGTTGCTCAAGGACTGTTTATCGTTTTGCATGTTTCGTTTACGAAAAAAAAATTGTGATAATCAAAAAGTGATGGAATCGAGAGGTCATTCAAACAAAAGCTCGCGTATGTATGTGTGCTTCTGATGTGCACTTCAAAATTCTTCGTGCAAATTCCAAAGAGGTGAATTGACAAACGAGTTTGTTCACGGGTCTCGATATGAATCATTGTCCATCGATTTACTTTCGCTTATTTCTGTCATTTTTTTCTGTACCATTGATAATGAAGTGTTTTGAATGAAATGCTGAGGTACCTGCGGCTGTGCATTTATTATGACTTATGGATTGCAAACAGCAACAACAACAATAACATGATGACCACACTGATGAGTGTCTGCTGACGACAACAACACCAAAATGTTGGGTCTTTGTTCGTTCGATTGTTCTGCAGAATCTGTTGAACGATGTGTGTGGTCTTCGGTTTTTCTTCATCAAATTATTCTGAACATCCCAATATTCTTATCATCATCAAATTCCCTTGATCGACAACATTTCCTTGAATCTCTTTTATTCATTTTCATATATTTCTCTGAAGTGAAACGAGTCATAAAATTATAAAACGTTTTTAAATCGATTTCAACGGATTCCATAGAATAGAGACACAGACGACGAACAACAGGTACACGATATAAAAAAAATTAATAAAAATGAAAATTGTTGAAAGTAATTCAATATATTGAGGTGGAACGGAGACACAAATTCGAAATGCTTTCGACGAATCATTTTTTTATTCAATTTATACGCATTTTTTTAATGAAGCGACGTTTGTTCCTCATAATCGTATGAGTGATACGCTTTGGAATGTATGTTATGGATACAATTTATTTAGTTTAATGTTTCTTGATTTCAAATTAAGAACCGATCACTCTGGATTACACCATAAAATTCGATTGATTGCCGTCATTTTCAGTCGATGGTTAGCTCCACACTTAATGGTTTTTCAAGATCTCATAAATTCAATCAAGTTTTCATCACTCTAGTCTCTCTATTCCTTATACTAACTGTAGCGATATTGAGATTAAAAAAAAACGTATTTTGTTGGCCTAATTCGAATCATTCAAAACAACAAATTGAAGCATTCTTTGCACAAACTTCAGAACATTTGGGATTGCCGAAGAATGCGATTACAATGGAACAACAACAATTTTAAATCGAAAAAAAATGTACGAAAATATTTCGCCTTTTCTCTCTCTCTATCTCTCCCGAGGTGAATTTTGCCTCATCTCACGCATTATTCACATGTCGAAAAAAAATGTGTGTGTATATTCGAAGCGATGAATGAGGCAACTGAAGAGATACACGACTAAAAAAACAACGGCAAAGAATTTTGTTTACGTTTTGACTGTGTTCACGCTCGTGCTTTTAATATTTAGTATGTTCATTCTGTTTCGGAGCAATTTAGCCTTCTCTCAACACTGGCCGTGTGAGAAATTACTTAGTGGAAACGAATTCTATAGTAATAATTTTTTGCGTTTTTCGATTCGATTTCGTTTAGCCAATACCATGACTTTTGAATTCAAACAAATAGAATGAACATAATTAAATGAAAACAAAATCCAAAGCGCGATCCATGCTGAATGTAAAATTGTACACAAAATATGGATTAAATTTGTTGTACGTGTACGGATTGAAATATGCCGTGCAGAAATGAATTGAACTCTCAGATCAAATAATAATAAATAAAAGAAGAGTGTACACACACACACAAACGCAGACACCATTAGTTTAAGAAGATTCATCATTATTAAGCAACTATCGTTCTTGCAAAGAAGGCACGCATACATTTGTGAATGTTCTCTTTGATTTGAGAACTCTATAGAATTGCGATTACAATCGGAGGCCCGTTCAAGACCGTTTACATACAGACAGACACAGAGAGAGAGAGAGAGAGAGAGAGAGAGAGAGAGAGAGAGAGAGAGAGAGAAGAATTCGATGGGAGCGCACGAGAATTGCGACCTGAGAAATGAACGTTGTTGCTTCTTTGATTCACAAAACGAACGAGAAAAATTGTAAACAAAGCAATTATGTCCGTCGAAAGAATAGCTTCTCGTCGATCCTTCGAAATCAACGACAACAAAATGAAAAAAAATAATAATAATGAGAACGCGAGTGGGGGAAAGAGAAGGTTAAATGGAAAGAACTCTGACTGAAATTGCGATGATTTTGATGTACGTAGAGCTGTTTTTGGTGTTCATGTTGTGTACATTGAATTATTCGTTCTTGTTTTCTTCGCTTCTCTATTTTGTGTTATAATAAACTGGGTAATTATTCAGCCACGATAAAAATCTAGCAAGAGACAACGTCGACAATGAGCGAAGCGAACAGTAAAAATTGAATAAAAGGATCAAATGAACTGAACGCATTTATTTTGTGTTGTGTCAGTGTCGAAAGTGAAGAAGCGTAAGAAAAAAAAAAATATTCGAGAGAAAAAAGCAAGAAGGTGCCTACGAGGGAAAAATATCACGCTGTTAACTGGATTGAAAGCATTTTCGAATCTGACATATCCTTTGCTTTGAATTGGACATCAGCACGCATGAATAACGCGCGCGTACTTTAGTTCAATATATATACTTGGGGCAATCGCAATAACAGCAGAAGAAACAAAAACATGCAACGCAATAATAATGATTCAGTACGGTTTTGATCATTCCAAACGACCATCACAATTCAATTCAATGGAAAAAATATCATTCTTGATCGGGCGAAGGGAACCGGTTTAAATTATTCTGGATGCTTCTTCTTTTTTTATTCCCTTCTTTATCACGCTCTCTGTTTTCTTTCGTTTTTTTTCACGATACCTTCGTTAGGCACGCATGCGTGTGCGTGCGCAAAAATAAATAAGAACGATGGACTTAACCCGCATTTTAAACAATCCGAAATTATTTATCTTTCTATCTGTTTGTATTCTCTTTTTTTACACTCTGATTGCACAACCGTCACCGTAGATGGAAAATGGCACAAAACACAACAAAGTCACACTCAGAGTTTATTAGAAATATTGATTGGATTGCGACTACAGACGATTACAAATGATCGAACATTTTTCTTCAATCTCTAATTAATGAAAAAAAGACACAGTGTGTTTATGAGAGAAGAGCGACCTCTAGTCGCATCACATTAGTGTTTACAAATCGATTTTTTTTTAATGAAACACACACAGAGAGAAGAGAGTTGTACTGTCTGCTTCATCCC